CCATATATAGGATGCAGTAAATTACAATAACTCACCACAGGTGCCATAAGACAACCGGCGTCCCGGTCGGGAATGTGCGCATGTACCGAGTAGCCCCTCCCCCCGGCGTGACGTGTAACGCCGCCGTTGCTATAGTAACGCAACTAGCGTATACTATACTGAAGCTGGCATCTAAACCGGAACTGTGCAGTGATGCGGAGAGGTTCCGCCCCTCAATGTGACTTCATGTGTGCGCCGCCGTCGTTACCATAGTAACGCGGCTGTGAATGAGAAACTACAACAAACCGATATGGAAACAAACTTATCAAAAATGATAACCTAGTTGTGAACACCTAGGCTATTATGAAATATTGACATACCAAATTTGGTTAAGCCAAGTGTGAATGTGATCTATGTATATTAATAAAGTGCTAATGGGTCATTTAAAGTGCAATCAAAATCATCTCTTAAAGTGCCATATACGTGCAAAATATATAAAGTGCCACAGTGCTAATGTAAACATATTGTGACCCACTATAATTTATATAAATATTTATATTAAGTAACCCCAATGATTAGAGATTAATATTAATAAATTAATCAATCAAAAAAAAGGATGTACATATGGTTATATAAGGCTTTTTTACACGACTTTTTTTAAACTTATTTTCTCTTTCTTCTTTCTGCTCCTCTGACACTCAACAAGTATATATTTTCAAACAATTGTTACAACAGCACTATTATATTCTGCATCAAAGACTGTTGAACACATTTTAAAGCAATAACTATTAATGCTTGCAAAACATAAATGATTAATTATATAATAAGAGGACGGTCGCAGGGTAGTCATGAAAAATGCATATAAAAAAACCTAAAATACACACAAATATAAAATCACATATAAAAGAACATTAAGGGGCATTCAGGCCAAAAAAGAATGTAACGACAAAGCTTCATTTAATCCTTTTGGAGACACAGTGTCCAACTCATGGATCCAATAAGCTTCTCTATTAAGTAGCATCCTCCCCCTATCACCCCCTCTTCTAGGGTTAGGGATATGGTCAATAGCCACAAATTTCAATGTAGCCAATGGGTGCTTTAGTTCAAAGAAGTGTTTTGCAACTGGTTTATCTGTGGAACCGTCATGATATGCCAGTCTAATAGAAGATCTATGTCCCCTAATTCGTTCGCAGATGGCCGTCTCTGTTTTCCCAATGTAACATAAGCCACACGGACAAGACAGTTTGTATATTACATGTGTCGTCTTGCAAGTAATAGTATATCGAATAGTATATTTTCTATTATTGTGAGGATGAAAAAAAGTTCTTGCAGGCATCATGTGGCTACAGGTCACACAGCCAAGGCAGCGAACAGATCCTCTTATTTGTTCCTTCGCTATGTTCAAATAGCTTTGGGAGGGATCCGTATGTACTAGCATATCTTTTAGGTTTCTATTTCTCTTATAACAGATTAATGGCTTTTCTTTAAACACTTTCGGGAGCGTGTCGTCACTCGACACTATCCTCCAATTCTTCCTAATGACCGATGCCACTTGAGGAGTAGACTGGTTGTATACCATAGGGAAGACCAAATTAAGAGGTTTCTTCTTTGTTTCAGTAGCGCGTGCATTCAATGCTTCTTGTAGCGCTATTTCCAACATACATTCGTCATAACCTCTTTGAAGAAATTTGTTTTTCATTTCAAGAATCTGGACATCCCTAGTTGCTACTTCCGAATTGTTCCTGATTACTCTTAGGAATTGTGCCTTTGGTAGTGAGTTCTTCAAAGCCATGGGATGTGCACTCTGGTAGTGGAGGAGTGTATTCCTATCTGTGGGTTTTGTGTATAGGGAATATTGAAAATGTGTTGCTCCCAATGAAATTTCCAAATCCAAATAATGCACCTTCTCTGTGCTAATATCCGCCGTGAATCTTACTGGAGTTGGTAAAAGATTAAGATCTTGAACCATTTCCAGGGGAGGGCTGGCAGCCTTAGGCCTGGGGGGCAAAACCAGTCAAGTGGCCCATTGCACCACCAAATCAGTTCACCATCCATGCCCACCTTTTCCTGGTTTTATAACGGATATTGATGTTATGCTAATCAGTAGCTCTTTGCCATACCTGCTCCTTCACGGCTCCAGGCACTGCTTGTTGTGAGTGTGAGCCACTGTAAATTAGGGGCAGAGGGCACTTGCACTGCGGTAAAGATGAGGCTGGACAGGAGGAGAGTGCAGTGCAATCAGTGCACTCCCCTCCTGTGGGTCACCAGTAGACTGGTGCACCTGCCCAGGATCAGTGCCGGTGCAAGGATTTTTGCCGCCCTAGACAAAATAAAAATTTGCTGCCCCCCCATGTGACATCACAATGCCCCACCCATATGAACTAGCGCCAGTGCTGCACACAGTGTGTGTTTACATTAAAAAGCCTGCAGGGACCAGCTATAGACACCAGAACCACTTCATTAAGCTATAGTGTCCCTTTAATGTGAGGTACATTATAGATTAGTGTCACTAATAATATACTAGATTGCCTGCTTACAAGCAGATGAGGATGATGATGGGCTGCAGTTTGGCTCCACTGGTCTGGTGTAGAACAGGATCTCTGGGCTGTTTGCAACTTCAATGGTCACAAATTCAATGTTCTGGGAGGGTGGGGAAGCAGCTCCATTTTTTGGGGCCCTTACACAGCGCTCAGGGTCCTGGGCCCCTTGGGGCCCTGGCGGTGGAGCCATACCCATAAGGCCCACTCATAATTCCACCCACCCATGAGTTCGCTCACAGAGTGGAGTGTGTAGGGATGTGTTATGTGTTATTGTAGAGGATCTAATATGTGTGCTTATGGTACATGTAGTGTATGGGTTACCAGTTTGTGCAGGTGATGTAGTGTGTTTGTGTGGTAGTGGAAGCAGTGTGTATTTGTGTATAAGGGATGTATTATGTGTTTCTGGTTGTGTGTAGGAATGCATTAATGTGAATCTGTGTTTTGTATGCATAAGGGATGGAGTGTGTGTCTGTATGTGCATTGAGTGTAAGAGATGCATTGTGTTTCTGTGTGAAAAGAAGTGTGTGTGTTTGCATGTGTGTGTACGGGTTTGCATTGTCTGTTTCTGTGTATGTGTACAAAGGATGCATTGTCTTTGTGTGTAAGGGTTGCATTGTGTGTGTGTGTGTAATGGATGCATTGTGTGTTTCTCTGTGTGTAAGGGAAGCATGTTGTGTTTCTGTGTATGTATAGGGATGCATTGTGTGTGTGTGCGCGCGCGTAGTGTGAAAGAGCTCCCTGTCTTGGCCCCTGTCCTATAGAGCTGCCCCTTCTGTCCCGTAGAGCTCTCCCCTGCACCTTAGTGGTCTCTCCTCTCCCCACCCTCCCCTAGCGGTCTCTTCTCACACTCACCCACCCTCCCTGTGCTCTTCTCATCCCCCCCTCCACCCTCCCTGTGTTCTTCTCACTCCTCCCTCTATGTGTTCTCCTCACACCCCCTGTGTTCGTCTTACCCCCCTCCTCCCTGTGTTCTTCATACTTCCCCCCTTGGTCGTCTTACTCCCCCACCTGTTCTTCTTACTCCCCCACCTGTTCTTCTTACCCCCTTCTTCTTATTGCTCCCCCTTCTTCTTCTTCCTCCCACTTCTTCTTCTTACTCCCCCCTCTTCTTCTTACTCCCCCTCTTCTTCTTACTTCCCCTTCTTCTTCTTGCTCCCCACTCTTCTTCTTCTTACTCCCCACTCTTCTTCTTCTTACTCCCCACTCTTTTTCTTACTCACCCCATCTTCTTCTTCTTACCCCCCTCTTTTTCTTATCTCCCCTCCTTCTTACTCAGCCCTCCCCCTTTTCTTATTCCCCCTCTCCCTCTTCTTACTCCCCCCTCTTTTTCTTACTCCCTCCTCTTCTTCTTCTTACTCCCCCATCTTTTTCTTACTCCCCCCTTCTTCTTCTTACCCCCTCTTTTTCTTATCTCCCCTCTTCTTATTCCCCTCTTCTTCTCCCCCCTCCCTCTTCTTCCTCCCCTCCCTCTTCTTGTTCCCCTCCCCTCTTCTTATTCCCCCCTCCTCTTCTTATTCCCCCTTTTTTGTATCCCCCCCTCCTCTTCTTATTCCCCCTTTTATCCCCTCCCTCTTCTTGTTGTCCCTCTCCTCTTTATCCCCCCTCCTCTTCTTATCCCCCCTTCTTATTCCCCCTCTTCTTATTCCCCTCTCCTCTTTATCCCCCCTCCCCTCTTCTTATCCCCTCCCCTCCTCCCTCTCTTCTTACCCCCTCCCCTGTAGCGTGGCCGAGCTGCACTCCGGTCCGCGGTGGCCGGCCGGCCGGAGTGATAGGAAGGTGCACACTCAGTGTGCACTTCCTGTCAGTCCGGTCGGTAACAGGAAACAGACACTCAGTGTGCACTTCCTGTCAGTCCGGTCGGTAACAGGAAACAGAAACTCCGCGCGGAACAGGAGTTTGTTTCCTGTAACCGGCCGGACTGACAGGAAGTGCACCTTCCTGAGGGATAATTTAATTTTGTTTTGTTTTTTCCAGGTAATTATCTCTCATGCACAGAGGATCATGGGAGGGATTACTTTGTGTTGGAAAACCCTTGCAGGGGACTTTTGCATAAAAAGGCAGTGTGTGGCCCTGAATAAAGACAGTCTACTCCCAGCATTAAGTTTTGGCTAAAAAAAAGTGGGGGGAACAGTTATACTGCTCTATTTACTTGCTATACCTGCTATACTCTCTGGTGGAGAGCTCGAACCACTGGGAGCTGGGTCCAGGGTGGGAAGAGGCGGCGAGACCCCAGCCAAGCTGCGGCGGCTAGGGGCTGGAGGTGCTTATGGTGTCCCGGTGAAGTGCTTATGGTACTCGGGGATAACTAGGAAGCGTGATTGGCTAGGTACCCAGTTGGGGTACCAGGCGGTCTGCCACATCTTGTGGCAGTGGAGGGATGGCTTCCTAGCGAGTGGGGACACAGGAATACAGTATGGATTACTGACGAGGGATAGCGCTAGCATCCGTGCAGCGTCTCTGTTTGCAGAGGAGCTCGGGAGGATGGAGCACGCTAGCCTCCGGGCAGCGTCCCCATATGAGGAGGAGTTCCTCTGCAGACTACAGCGCATCTTGGCCCAAAGGGATGGTTCTGTATCAGAAGATGGACTGGAGAGATGCCACTTGGAAGGAGCTCTGGTACGAGGCCCTGGAAGATGTTTAGCTTCGGCGGAGAGAGCAGCGGCTCCAGGTACAAGTGGCTATGCGGCTGACTCTCCTGGGATAGCAGCCCCTGGAGGAGTGAATGACGTAGTTTGAGTTTCTGGTCTGGAAGGAGCTATGGCTGGACGAGGCTTACCGGGCGCTAGAGTGGTACGCAGTGCGGCGTGTCCAGTGGATGGCTGAGGATAGTGTAGGGTGAGGACTATAATGGCCCGGGCTTGATGTGGAGACCTCTGAGGAGGACATTGACTTTGGGAGTCCAGCAGAGTATCGGCTCCTGGACATCCACAGCATCAGGGAAGCCCTGATGGATCTTAATGGAGCTGCCGACCTGGGACCAGATCTGATCCATCTGGTCACCATGAAATGGGAGCTGGAGCAGAGTTACCAACGCCGTCCTTCCTCCCCAGCGGCAGTGCATCCTCCAGGTAGAGGAGACAACTGGTCCCTCTCCCCAACCACAGTGGCAGTGTACCTTGTAGGGAGAGGAGACAAGGCATCTCCTCTCCCCAGCAGAAGTGTATCCTGCAGGTAGAGGAGACAACCGGTCTCTCACCAGCAGCAGTGTATCCTGCAGGGAGAGGAGACAACCGGTTTCTTTCCCCAGCGGCAGTGTATTCTGCAGGGAGAGGAGACAACCGGACGCTCTACCCAACCACAGTTTGCGTTATTGGGAGTAGAGACAAACGGTCTCCCTCTCCAACTGCAGTGCCAGGAATCTCGAGACACCAGGGATGACGGCCGCTACAACCACGGCCAAGTGGACCTACCCGGGCAAAGCATGGCACAGGAGGCTACCAGGTCAGCTATTTGTTTTTGGGTGGGCTTCTCGACTAACTCAAGTACAGACCGCCTGCAGGTCTGGTACCTGGTTACAAATACAAAAAGATAATTCCAACGCTCACTCCCATCACTCCTGGGCGGCAGCAAAGACCACAGTACACATCAGCCCCAATACATACCGTAAAAACCAAAGAAAACGTTACCTGTGTCTCTCCGAAATCCCCATGTATATTTAAACAAGTGGAGGTCATTTAGTTACTCCAATGGCCATTGATGCTCAAGGAAGCAAGGTGAAGGTGTATGGGCAGTCCGTGGCGACAGGGGGAGGTAGCCTATTCAGCACCAAAGTGCAGTAGCCAGTAGGCTATCAGCACTTCAAACATAGGTGGAGTCAGGGGACCGTGATCAGCCGCAGGCATTTGCAACAGCCTGTATGTTAACCCCTGAGCGTAAGCCAGAAATGCAGCAGGATTAACCCCTTAAATGTTTAATTGCTCGCATCTATGATGATATATTTTTCTTAGATGTTGGGCTCGTTTTGAGATATCTTAGTGGTATGAATATAAACTGTATTAATGTTGTGACAATCCTTTTTGAAACTACTCATTTAGAGGGAGATTGTTAATCTTTATCGTGTTTCGAATCTCATCTCCTAATCCGTTCTGGAGGCTGAGGAGGGAAGGAGAATTCTATCATTATTTTCTCTTCAATATAGTTTTTTTTACTCTCTCTTCCTAGGCACTGTATCCCTAACACTGGCCGTTCTTTTGCAAGCCTTATTTTACCACCTTTTTTCCTACTCTAGCTATGTACTATTACTATAGATCTTTTGACTATGGTTACATCCTGACCTGACTTATGTCGCTACATACTGCCTTCATAGCCACAAGTGTAGCTTTAATATATAGCTATCTCATTTGAATAACCTATAGGAGCAACTGCTCTATAAACTGGACACTTGTCTAAATAGCTATACTGAAGACATACTAGGCAGGCTTGATAAGACCCCTACCGTTTGCAGCACTTGAACATTTTCCTCACGGTTTATTTTTTGTATCACTGGTTCACATATTAGTATTACGTGTCTAATACCATTGTAGACTATATTAGTGTCTAAAAACATTAAAGACTATTTTTAACAATTGTAACTTACTACCCTTATGTTGAGTTATTTACTTTTTGTATGGGTAAGCCTTTGGCCGTTTTTTGAGAGTTAGTATCTGAGCATGACTTAGGTTCTCTTTTTCAATATACCTGCTTGAAGGATTTTTTATTTATTTTTTCAAGCCGTTACACTTACCTTTGACAGTCCCGGTGACGACTGTCCCTTTGGTTGCTCTCGTAGAGAAGCATTGCGGTCACATGGTGAATAATTGAAAGTCTTGGTGATCCACCAATCCACTGCTTCTTGTGGAAAATATGGATTCTGATGCTTCTCATGAGAGACGTGCACAGCATCTCGTATCAGCAAATTTTGCATGCTGACGCCAGATGTAAAATACATTTAATTGTTGTAGTAGTAGGTGTACAAATGGTAAAATGTAAACCGTACCATTTCTCAGAAACAGCACTGTTTTCTTTTGCAAGGCTGCGGGGGCAGCATCTATGCCCCAAAATCACTTGATTAAGGTGAAGTAATTTTGATTGTTAGAATGTCCCTTTTGTGATCTCTAAATTATTTCAAACACATTAGTCATTCTGTTAGTCATGTGGATGCTTCAATTTTTAAACCATTGGGTAATATTGTTTGATGGAAATTCCTCGTACAGTATTGTCAAAATATCTGTAATACTTGTTGTAAACAGGACCTGGCTTTCATTTTCTTTCGCCCATTAATGGGCTGTGTAGTTAGAAAAGCCCCACAAACGTACTTGACTACACCATAATACTACCGGACCAATTAAAAGCAAAAGTCACATGATCTGTCAACAAGTAATGTGTCCTGAGATCCAATCAAAATTCCATGCCTGGAGTTCCATATGTCACAATTTTACCATGGGTCTTAGAGGACCATATAAAGCATATTTCTATTTGTTTTATGGATGACTTTCCGATTCCCTAGAACCCAGACATTCAGATGCATTTATAAACGTTCTATATCATTCTGTCGGTATAAACTCTGTAAATATGTACTTTAATGTGAGCTGGTAAAAATAAGCTGCAGGAGCCACAGAGCTAGAAACACTGATCAGTTTAAAATAAATCTTGTATTCTAATTGTGTTTGGGTTTTTTTTTGTGTGTTTTTTTTTTTTTTTTAGCCCATCACAAAACCGATATTAAAATCATGTTAAGTAAATAGAAAATGCACAGATACAAAAAAATATGTGTATATGTAGGGGCACTTTAAGCAACATAACTACTAAAGCCCACTGCAGTGGTTATGTTGCCAGTATGCCACTGCTACCATCTTAATGTTATGTGTCAAACAGTTTTCAAGCAGTTTGACATAAACAGGGCTGGCCCCTTGCTGTCCATCTTAATGTGGAATTTACACTTCTGCATTAGCAGTATGAATTCTGTCCATACTTCGATGGCATTCATTGGCTAAGCATGTCACCTGGCACTTCTCAGCCAATGAATGCCTTTCAAGTTTGTACACTGTAGCCATTGCTAATGATGAAGTGCAGCTTCTGCATCGGGGTCATGGACTGCGAGGGGCTGGGTGATAAGGGACCCTCGGTTTGTGTCAGGTTGTTCCAAAATGGATTGATCCATAACAAGGGATATTGCCCGGGACAAGCTGGCACTGTAAACATTATAGAGGACTATAGTGATTATGATGCTTAAAAATGCCCCATTTAAAAGGCACACTATAGCGTAAGGAATACAAATGCATATACCTCTTTAGGTCGTCCTTACACTTGTGAGGGTTTAAAAGGCGGGTTTTAGATGCTTTTCAACCCTCGCCTCGCCAGTGTCTGTCCGGCCTTTCCACCTTCTTGGCTGACATCATCAAGATTGGCCATTTCAGCAAACCCAAAGTTTCTATATACGGAAACATTGGAAGGCTAGTGCGCAAATACGGCAAAACTATGATCTGAACCAATCAAATGCTCTCTAGGAGAGTCACGTGACCGAGATTCACTTATTGTAGGATTGCCAAGCCTCTACTGGATGTCTTCCAGACAGCATACAGAGATGTTTTAACTCTGCTATGATATTACAGTTTCTACAAAACTACAATGTTTTACATTTGCAGGGTTAAAACCACCAGACCGCTGCACCCAGACCACTTTGTAGGACAATTGGAAATGTAAGGCCAAATTAGTCGAGCTGGAAACATAGCTGAATATTTCCAGTTTGAATGTTTTGGCCTGACATTTACAACCCCCTGGTGAATTCTCAGCAATTTCTGTGTAGCAAATAACGCAGTGTTCTTGTTCTGAATCTTCTCTCTGTGGCTGGGTGAAAACGAATGTTTCTTAGTATTCATCAGCAATGCTTTATTTGGGCTAGTGAAGGTTCAGTACTCTCCTAAGGGGAAAATAAATTTCCGGTGTGTGTGCAGTTATGGTCTGTTTCTAAAAGTGTAAGTGTATTCATTAACGATTATTACTCCCCGGACACAGCCCTGTTTGTGAGACTTTTATATAAGAAATTAACTTGATGTGAAGGAATGAGGAAATGGTTAAATAGTGTGTGTATATCGAATAATGATAGATGGGCACATGGTCCATGACTATTTTTGCTAATAAGAATGAAAATTAGAAAAAGGGGAAGTAAGAAAAGCATGCCCACGTCTATGCTGGCTGTGGTCCTATTTGTGATAAATAAATACATTATGCATGGCACATACATGTCCTCTAATACGCAGATTCCTTTATTAATGATAATCTAATCACCAAAGCAAACTTAACTTAAAGGAACACTATAGTGTCAGGAATGCAAACATGGGAGAGGTGTTTTTACTCGCCTTTTCTCTCAAACCCCGACTGGCTCTGTCTATGCGACACTCATAGAAATGCATTGAATCAGTGCATCTCTATGGGGACTGTTCAGCTGAATTCCATTGCTACACACTGTACAGCACTGAGATAGCAAGCATCTCTAATGGCCGTCTGAGTGACTGCCACTAGAATTGTTCCTAGGCAGCAATGTAAACACATGCCTTTTCTCTAAAAAGGCAGGTTTTACAGTGCTCAGCCTGCAGGTACAGACTATGTCCCCCAGAACCACTACATTAAGACTTTAGTATCTCTTTAACACGTCATGTGTCCTTAAGGGGTTAATGAAGCAGTTTTGGTGTATATATCATGCCCCTTCAATCCTGCTTCTCAATTCTCTGCCATTTTGTTTCTGTTTATGTAATATTACATGTTGCATTAGTTTAAATAAAAAAACATAAAATATCAATTGTACAAGGCTCATAATTTCAAGTCCAGTGGTACTAGCCTGGTCTAAAAGTTAATGGGCACAGAAAGTCTGGACTGTCTGTGGCACTCACCAGAGTTTACTTTTCACTCCCCAATGGCTAGTGGAGAATGGATATTTTGAACACTGATCTGTACAAAGTGCTTGTTGAATTACTACCATCTTTATACTAAAAATAATCACGGCCCCTCTTCTCATCTGTCAATCAGTTACTGACATAGAATTATATAGAGGTCTAGGGCTTAGTCCTCTATGTTGAAGAGTGCATTGCACGGACAGAGCAGGAGACGTATCTCCAACAGGCAGTTCTCCTGCTGCTCTCTCTCTCTCATAGCCAGTACAGCAAATACATTGTAGTTGCTGTGATGTTTTTCTTGCAAGCACATCTCATATACAGCAGTGGAATTGCACCTGTATTGGTACAGTCCATGAAGTCCATTTTGGATTCATTGGGCAGTGTGTCTTACTTGGGGAAGTGTTTTTAGCATCGCATATAGTCTAGTAGATGGGTGAAACGTAGACTGGACCAGTTGTGCTGTCTTATGGTAGCATTAAAATCTAATTTATCTTTATGATAAATCATTGCTTTAGGAGCGGTTATCACTTAAAGGGACACTACAGGCAGCCAGACCGCTTCATCTCATTGAAGTGGTCTGGGTGCAGTGACCCTGTCTCCTTATCCTTGCAATAATTGTATTTCAGGGCTAACTCCTTCTCTAGCGTAAATCAGTCATCACTCTCACTAGAACCCCTGTGTCTGGACAGTAAATGCTTCGAATAACTATTCTCTCACCTCCCTGCCTTGAGCTGCGCTCCCCACAAGAGTGCTCACAGCAGAAAGGGGTGACATGAGGTCGCTTGAGCTTCTGTGATCAACTATAATGAAAGTTAAGCTCAGTTTTATAGTTTAATTAGATTTCTACATTCAATATTGTTACCAACAAAAAAAGGTTGTACGGTATGATGGTATTTCAAATCCGATACAGATGCTGGCTTATGGTACACCCGCCATTGTTTGGAAAGGGGGACAAGAGATAAACGCATTATAATAGTCCTGACAGTATTCCAGTGTCTCCTGGGGGGAAAAGCTGCAAGGTAACATGCACAGGTACACAAAGAGAACCCACTGAATCTAGTATTTTAATAGAAGCAAAAATTCTTAGCTGTGAAAATGAAAAATACACCACACTGACCATTTAACTGCTGAACCTCTAAAAAATAAATAAATAAAAAGCCCTAATAACATTCTGTATGGCCTGTCTTCGCATACAGTTGGACTGGCTTTTGTTTTTTGTTTGTCCTGTTTTTTGGTCACTGGGCCACATTAAATAACATGATGATCATATATTAATCCCACCAAGGTTAGGCAGGTTCTTGTGATAGTTCTGTTGTGCCATCAGCCTTAAATGGGTTAAAGGAGCGTGGGAATAGAGATTTTCTGTTGCCTGGAAAGCACCCATAGGCAATAAGTTTTCGGATCTCTTTGCCATCGTGTGTAGCTGTGCCAGGTTTGGCTCAATGGGAATTCCCTTGTTTCCCCAGAAAACATATCCTATCTAGTTCTCTGTAGGCCTGTCACTAGCCTCCTTGTGGAGAAGAGGTTTTATGGCCTTGTAAAGGTGTAGAATATTTTATGCTACAGGTATATTGTTATAGAACAATCAGCCTTCTAGTGCACAAATGACATAATACCGAGATAAAGCATTATTTCGACTACATCAAAGAACAAAAGACTTCCGCCAAATGACATGCTGATCTATTTTTATAAATCCAAGGAAATGTGCTGTACGGGTTATAGTTATCATCCTGGGAGGTGTGACTAGTTTGGCAACAGGTTCATTTGTTCTGGGCTTCTAGACTGATTTCCAAAGTAGTACAGCGCTATTTTTCTTCGCTGGTAATAAGCCGGTTGCTGATCTCTAATAGTACCGTAGGGAGTGCCAACTTTTCCGTGGTCTTCTCGTGATTATTCAAATATTACATGTATGTAAATTTTGAGGTGATGTGTGGCAGGAGAGAAAAAAAAATTCCAAACCATCCACATGTTTTTAGGAAAAAATATATAGGGGAAATAAATGCAACATCGTGGTATAATCTGCAGTGCATAAGCATGCTTCATCATCTGCCCTTGTGCTAGGGTTGCATGTGATATTCTACTATTAAGAAAAATGATCCAAGCTAAACATAGTAAACTCATCAATCACAATGCCACGTAAGTCTATTATCAGCTAATATGGTTTATTGAAGTTTTTCCTGGAAGGTTGCCCATGAACATCGTTGGCAATGCAGATTTTGAGATCAATATTTTTCATGCAAAGCATTATGGGAAATGAAGCCCATAATCCTTTGCAACACCAGTGCTTGCCCTATTTAAACAAAAAAAAAAAAAAAAATTAGTGATGTGTGCATGTCATATTGCAGCAGCACCCCTAATGTGCAGACAAAGAGGCTGAAATCACACTTTCAAAATGTGTGAAGGAAACCGAGATATTGAGCTCATATCCTCCCTGAATGTTGCAATGATTGAGAATGACCTTTCTTCTCATGTTCAGCTCCTGCAGGGAGTTTAAACCCTGCTTATCTCAATCAAGCACATGTATCGAAACATGTGTCAAGAGGACAGGAACTGGCTGTCCTTCTTGCTAAACATTACCCACAAAAATTCACACTCTTGGTTTATTCTTTGTTTTCCTTAACCACGTTTCTCTCCTAATGAATAATCACTACTTATACCCCAAGTAATTCCATTATTTTAAAGTGGATCTATTGGATCCAGCAATAGATATAAGTGAGCAGGGCCCTCTAAGAGGGGGGTGACGTAATCTATACATTGTACATACAATCCGCAGCAAATGTATAGCTTAAATAATAATGGTCATGCTTGAGTGAATGGTTTTATTCATTTTTTAATTCAAAATAATAGCAGTTATTCTGTTTTGTGTTTATAGGTCATTGTTTTCATTTTATGTTGTTGTTAACCCCTGTGTCATATTTCATTTTTTTTTTTTTTTTTACTACTTAAAATACCATCTAGTAAATAGATCCACTTTAAAAGAATGGAATTACTTGGGGTATAAGTAGTGATTATTCATTAGAAGCGAAACGTGGTTAAAGAAAACAAAGAATAAACCAAGAGTGTGAATTTTTGTGGGTAATGTTTAGCAAGAGGGACAGCCAGTTCCTGTCCTCTTGACACATGTTTAAAATACCATCTAGTAAATCACTATGCATGAAGCAATACTTGTCTATATATAGCTATATATCTATATATTAAACCTTCCATTACAGATGTTTAAAAATGGTCCAGATTGTCTTTTTCCACGTTATAACTTGAATTTGGATAACAATGTTTAGAAACTGATTGAAGCCTATAAATCTTAGTCGTAAAAAGGTTCATGTATGCGTTTGGCAGTATCTTCATTTTTATTCACCAGATGTCACCATAATGTCGAACAGTTTGATTTTAGAGAAAATCTTGTTTAATTCACTCGACAGCCATGACATCACACATGCTATAAAACATGCCAGTCAATCAGGACGAGGGTTCTGCACCTTAAACCAGCTTAGAAACATAGAATGTGACGGCAGATAAGAACCATTCGGCCCATCTAGTCTGCCCAATGCTTATTTTATTACATTCTCATGTCTCCAAGTTTTTTTGGGATAGGCTGCCTATTTTCCTAACCGTTGCTTTGCCCAACTTGATTCCTTCCAATTCCTTTTTTTTTTTTTTTTTTTTACGGTTTCAAAAATATATTTTAACCCTCTGATCTTTTTGGTAACTGAATTGCTTTGCATTACATCATGCTGCCCCCCACTGGCACGCTAATTGGTGGTCTAGACTGCTTGGTATTTGGAAGCGCATAGTATCCTGTTCTTTCAACAATTCACCCAGCTCTTCTAACATAGAAATAGGAAAATTAGTCTTCCAACACCAAGAAACATTCTGAACCAAAGATCTTTTCCCCCCTTGCAATCTCGATAGAAATAGAGAAATAATGGCTTTGTGGGATTGTGTCATTAATATTGTGGTGTTGGTTTTTACCTACCATTTGTTTATTGCACAATTCACCCTTTTATCTCTGTTTCTCGTATAGACCGACCCATCTGGTTGAATGCCTTTTGCGACATGCTTGTTACGGAGTCATTCGTGAGGCCCAAGCATTTCCTTTGGTTGGCCAAAACAAGTTACTTTATCAGTACTTCTAAAGCAAAGAAAGAACTAATGTGATTGTGCTAAAACCAAGTGCCATGCTACTGTTGGCTAGATTTTTTTCTTTAACCCCTTTCATCCCTTTAGATCGCACACCATTGCTCCTTAAGCGGTTAATAACGGAGTCCAAGCACACCACTTTATACTCCAGTGTGCATTTTAATCTAGCAGTTCCCCTAGTTTACTGTTGTAAATGTAGCTAGAATCCGATATTTCCGTCATGAATCCAATTTAAAATATGCCTCTTCACTTTTTATTTTAAAATCACGGCATCTTTTTGTTTAGTACGGTGGTTACTATGAGGATAGACCTTATACAATTCCTTTGCGATATGGGGGTAACCTTAGGTTTATTTATCAAGGTGTTATGCGAGGACACTTTATTAAGGTTACATATCTTGAGTGCTTCTTCTACAGAGTCACTGCAATAGCACGGTCCCACATTTAGCTCAGTGATTTGGAAGGCAGAAACTTCTCTGCTCATTATTTGGTAGAACGGTGCATCTGGGATTCAGTGCAGATTGCTCTTAACCTACAGCTAGAAATTTAGAAAGGCATTTATACTTCTGCTTTAAAGGATCACTATAGTGTCAGGAAAACAAATTTGTTTCCCTGACACTATAGTGCCCTGGGCGCTAAAGGGGTTATAACCCCTTCAGCAGCTTACGTTATCCCAGCGCCGGTGACCTCTCCTCCCCGTCTGACGTCAGTGAAGCCGCATGCGCGGCAAGTGCCCACGCGCGCATTCAAGCTGTCAATAGGAAAGCCTTTTTCAATGCTTTCTTATAGACGCTCTGCGTGATGGAGGCGTAATATGCCTCCAGCGTCGCAGATGCGCCTTTAGTGGCTGTCCGGAAGACAGCCACTAGTGGCTGGCTTAACCCCAAATGTAAATAGAGCAGTTTCTCTGAAATACCAGTTAAAGTGTGAATGTTGATAAGGTTTGCATGTGTTAGAGTTTCACCATATAACCATAGCGCTATCACTAATTTTACAGTAACAAGATTAACAGATATTAAATAGCTATACAGCAATCCATAGACTTTCCAAGGGGGTTTAAACCAGCTGCTCATTTTAAGGGCCTGTAAAATGTACATAACCAATTTAAAAAAAAAAAAACGGTTTGGACATTTTTCATTAGTGGGTAAGAATAAGAAAATTTACTATTTTTAATAAGTTTCTCCTAATGTAAATGCCCATAATAAAAACAGATAGCGATGGGCTTCAAAACCCATAATTCTCCAGAATGATGGGAGTTGTACTGCAGCAGTATACGGGAATGCACTGATTAATACGCACCTGCGACCTGCGTAATCTTAAAATTCCAGGTGATTTAAATCCCAATTTACCTGTGCTAAAATCTTAAAAATGGCTTTTTTTAAGAATATGCAATGATACTCGTGCAATAAGGAGTTATGAGTCTCACACTAATTTAATGATGGCTGGTAGTAGCCTTGTGATAACATTATAACCAGGAGATTTACAGATTTAGAAAGCTTACTCCTGTAGTTTTTCTGATCGACAAGCAATTAACTAATAAATATTAATAAATCATTGGCAGAGACTTGCTGTCAGAGAGCAGCGACTGCAAGTATGTATCTTATAAAAGCACTATATTGTTACATCGTGGCTAGTGTGTGGGCAAAGAAAATACTGTATCACAGAGACTGTAAGAGAATGCCCAAAAGGTGTATGATTAGAAGATAGTTGCTGCAAAAGAGATATTATTGCAGACACAATTAAAGGGGAAACTGGCATTTAAAAAAACAACAACAAAAAAAAAACCACCCACCATTATGGCCTTGAATATTATTTTGAAATGCACACTGATCATTACTCCTTCTAGTGCATTTCCTGACATGACATTGCTCAGTTGCGACACATTTGGTCACATAAGTGGTGCTTCTGACCAAACACCATGCAATAAACTAGTGTGTGTTCACAGGTATTGATATCATGCAAGCCCTGGGCATCTGAGAAATCCACTCTGATCTGCTTAAAGCGGTTTGTTTTGCATAGTCTACAGTGAGATAAGCAGTGCAGTGGTAAGCAATGAGGGGCACTGAAAAGATATATGCAGTACAAAACAATATAATCAGGCTGTAACATATCTAATGATCGATGTTTAAAAAAACAAAGAGGACTGTTTTTTTTTTTCTTTTAACGTATTGGTGCAAATAGTGAAATATTAGCAGCAGAATGAGGCAATTTGGTAATAAAGGATGATGGTCCAGCTGTTTGATAAACACAATGTGATCAATATATGTCAGTTTTAACATTTTTCTTTTTTTTAAAAAAATGTATTTATTTATTTAAACGCACAGTCATTATTTCAGTATACTGCCGGCAAAATACATACCCCATTGAAATCTGATGATTGAAAATGGCTGTCTCAACAGAGATTATAAAAAAAAATATTGCCGTCTGGAAATAGCTCTGTCACTGGCAAGTATTGAGAAGCAAAATATTCTTCAATTTATCTGGTCAAAGAAAAGGAAAAAATAGACCCTTGAGTCACATTATGTTAAAGCGGATCAGTCATTTTCTGAAGTATTTTAGGTGATATCTCCACTTCGCGTCTAATGCATGTGGGGTGCAGTGGAAAGTAGTTATACTTACCTGAAACTGCCCCTTGTGGCAGTAGCAGCCATTTTCTGTCTATTTCTTCAAACATGGCTCCTGGTGTTTCATGTGCCAGAAGCCGCACCATCATTGTACTCCATTGATCACGCCCCATGAGTGAGATGATGCATGAATCTTAAAAATGTCGCTGGCAACGACAGCTGGGATTTGATCAAAGTTAATGGCGAAGCTATGCCTTTTGTCAACATCAGGTACCTACTTTTTCTTATATGTTTGGAATGCGCAGGAATTTCTATAAAACTCCAACATTCCATCTTCTGAAATACTCGGAAGTGACAAAGCTGCTTTAATCAGTAGTATCCGTATTCTGGGAGCACCGATATCTCTAGTTTGGAAACTTGCAGTTTATTTCAATGTTTTATCAGTTGTGTATGAGTGTAAAGTTTATTTTAAAATGGTCAGATTGTATTTAGTAACAATAATCCCTTTTAGATTTTATTTTTCTTAGTTCTCTCTCTGGACCTTTTGTCTGTTAAATCCCTAATTTGAATACATACTATGAGATTGGCTGTCTGACATGGTTCAGCCTTTATTGATTCAGCTCCTGTATGGCACTGTCACAGCTCTGTAATCTGTTATTACTTGGAACATTAGAGTCAGTTTACACACTATGTGTTTGTCTAAATAACACAATGTGATATTGCTATTGGAGTTTGGTTATGCTTGGCATTAAATGTGTTTTCCTGCTGCTGTATTGATCTAAATGGGTTACTTTTTTTATTATTTTTCTGACTTCGAACCCTCTTGGGACTAAAAACAGAACAATTTTATCCCTCTGTGTTTATTTTGAAAATGAAATTCCAAGCACCTGGTATTTTATTTATTTTTGTGACTTCAAACCATCCTTAAAGGGACTCTCCAGGTAAACAGTTTTACTCACCTGGTTCCAGCGCCGGGGAGCCTTGTGAAGCCGCGCCCCCTATTTCGTCAAAATGGCGAAATAGGCGGGCGCGAGCAGGGAGCAATCAGACGCTTCGCCGCACATGCGCAGATACTTCTGAGGGTTGCTGCCCTCTGAAGTCCTGAGTGCACTACCGCGCATGTGCGCGGCCGTGAGCTGACTGACAGCTCAGCTCGCAGTCTTTGCCCGCCCCCTCTCCTCTGCTGACAGGCAGAAGAGAGAAGGCGCGCACACAGTGCCTTCTCTCTCCTGCACACGTCAGACATATTTTAATACGTCTGAAGTGTACAAGGCTTTTTTAGGGCCCTGCATGATTGGAAGTCCCTCTGGTGGCCGTCTGAGTGACGGCCACTGGAGGTATTCCTATCAATCAGTGTAAACAGAGAAAATACAGATTAGATTGCCTGCAGGGATCTATAGATCATACCTGAACAACTACATTAAGCTGTAGTTGTTCAGGTGACTATAGTGTCCCTTTAAACTAGGCACAGGACATTTCCTTTTATTTTTTTATTTTTATTTTTATTTTTTTGCAGTCATATGCTAAAATTCCTGCAGGTACACCCCCCTCCCCCCCGCAACCTGCCTACTTTTTATGTTGTAGGGGAGTGTTGCTCATCCATTAACCTGTGTAATACTATTTCTGTGTCCCTCTCCTTTTGCGTTTGTATGGGGTTATGCTGTACGTGAATGTGTTCCTTACAAAGAGAGGTGCATGGCAGATTTGACCTGCCAAAGTTTCACTAGTGCCAGCAAATGAATGGAGAATTGGAGTAAAAAAAAAAAAAAAAAGCTGCTCTGTTGCCACTGTTAATTAGTGCTAATTGTTTAATTCATGTGTTTCATGAATGAAACTACCAGTTAGTAGTTCTGTATGTGTGGTTTAAAAACTAGTAGCTCAGCTACATAAACCATTCCGTTTCTCCCAAACTGCAGTTGGTCTGAATTTTGGGCCTTCTGTGCACAAGTCTACTGTTCAGGTCTGAAGCAAGGTATAGCTATTTTGTCATTACAGAAAATCCCTATGCAATCCTGTGGTTTTTAAGCCTTGCGTCAAGACTGCAATATATGTCTTCATGCTAGTTCATTGAGTCTTCAGTGCTTGGAAGAGGCACCTCATTCATTGATCAGCTCTGGCTACAATAACTTGTTTGCTATTGGGCCTTCCCCAGAGTAGTGTAGGCCAACCTAGCACTTGGAAGAGTCAAATTAACATATTGAAATGTATTTTAATGTTACTTATAATAATATGAACAATGGTTACAGAGTTAAATGTTCATTACATGGCTTCCTATCAGAAGTTTAAGAAGCGCCGACTGATACTATTTACATACAGTTGCAAGAAAAAGTATGTGAACCCTTTGGAATGATATGGATTTCTGCACAAATTGGTCATAAAATGTGATCTGCACTGCACTGTGAATGTTTACATGGTGTGTTCAATAAAAACATGGCAACATTTCATTCTGTGTGTGTTATTAGTTTAAGCAGACTGTGATTGTCTATTGTTGTGACTTAGATGATTATCAGATCACATTTTATGACCAATTTGTGCAGAAATCCATATCATTCCAAAGGGTTCACATACTTTTTCTTGCAACTGTATAGACAGAAACTTTCTCGGACACCTGTCTATGGGCAATGAGCAGGGCTATAGCATAATATAGGAAAACAAGCACTGATTGTGTGGATTGTTTGTTGTTCCTTTTATTTATCGAATTTTTTTTTTTTTTTTTTTATAATCGATAAATCTGTTTATATCGGCTACGCATGTTTATTTGATTAAAGGACCACTATAGTGTCAAACAAACTCGTTTTCCTGACACTATATAATCCTTAGGTCCCCCACTTCCTGCTGGGCTGAAGGGGTTTTAACCCCTTCAGCCACTTACCTTTATCCAGCACTGGTGTCCTCTCCTCCCCCTCCGACGTCAGCTCCCGAGTGGAGCCGAATGCGCATGCACGGCCAGAGCCACGCGCGCATCAAAACGCCCATAGGAAAGCATTTCTCAATGCTTTTCATGTGGACATTCTGCGTGCTCGATGCGATTTTCGCATTGAGTGTCTCAGAAGCGCCTTAGGAAGACAGCCACTAGAGGCTGGATTAACCCTGCAATGTAAACACAGCAGTTTCTCTGAAACTTCTATATTTACAGCTGCAGGGTTAATACTTGGGGTACCTGGCACCCAGATCAATTCATTGAGCTGAAGCGGTCTGGGTGACTATAGTGGTCCTTTAATATTTCCTTACAAAATGTGTAGAATTAAGTTAGATAATTAAGGCATACTAATCCGCTGTGGTGAAGAAAAAATCTTTAGGCATGGTTAGAGTGTTTTGGCCAAAGTATTCAATATTTAGTGAATAAAACCATTTTATTGGTGAAATCTGCTGACTGAATTCTTATTCCTGCCAGAAGCTGTGTACATATCAAAATAGTGTTTTCTGTTCAGGTTTACAACTAATTTTCTTTTTATTATAACCGATCTTTTACATTTAAATTTAATTGTTGCTTTATAATTTATTTGTTGGTTTGTGATCGCCCCGTTCTTTTATATCACTTAACATTCCTTGTTATTTCACAGAGTGTCACTGGCTTCGGACGTCAAATGATCGAGAAAACAAAACAACTAGTGGAATCGAAATATACAACGGACAACGGATACAAGGCAGACGCCAAGGTAAAGCGCAAAGTTGCTGAAAAAGTTGACTGAGGTTATGATTCAGTGATTTTTAAATATTTAACTTCATATTATAGGAACCACAATAGGTATTTCTTTCTGGGACATAAGTGGGTAATTCACTACATTTGGAAATGTGGATTCGTTAACATAGAATGCAAATTTGAACCCCAAAAAAGTGGAGTTGCAGAATTCACAGTGTATATGTTTGTAAATGACATTGATTATTAAAGGGCCAGTCTTGGAACCATAAACCCACAGCATGCTTTAGTGTTTATAGTGCCTGGTTTCCCTTGGCACCTCCCCCCACCCCAGGTAAGAGTCATAACTATTTTTGAACAGTTACTTACCTGGAACCCTTTGGCTTCTCTGTTCCAGTGCTCTCTTTAAGTATATCTAAAGGGGGAATTCCCCTTCTACTATACATCTCAATGTGGTGGTCCCTATTTGGATGGGATTCATAGGCTGAGAGTGTCCACTGGAATTCTCAACCAATGAATTCTGTTCACACATCTGCAGAGCTAATGCCACAAATGCGAAGGTAGAAACTTCTGTATTGGCAATATCCAGAGAGGAGGCTGGATCAGAGGTGCCTGGGGGGACCCAAGTATGTATTGTAAAGCTCTGCGGAATAATCTGGCGCTATATAAATACCATTCATAATAATATAGTGTCAAACTGTTTAAAAACCATTTTATTCCGCCTGTGGGATGGTAACAGAACCTCTACAAGGCACTGTAGTGGTTATGGTGCTTAGGCTGCCCCTTGACTAGTTTGACCCGAAACACCAACTGCAGTTTGAAATTGTTGATTTGGTTTTATGACCAATAACTGCAATGAATGAGTTAATCAGTAAAGTGTGACTTTTCAGGAATTCAAAGTTTACTTTAAATTTCAGACCAGAATAGCAGAGCGTTAAATCGTTGACTTGGAGTAATGTTCCCAATTCAGCTATTTTAGCTTAAAAATTCTTATTCACTTGGAAAACCTGACAGTAATCACTTTCCCTAATAATACCTGAATGTAAAAAATAAGTTGGATTCTAACAGAATCTTGAAGGTCAGTCCTTTGAGTGAATCTTTAGATCAGAAATACTGAGTTAGGTTGTTTTATTTGTTTTACCTGGTAACGAAGGGGAATGTAACATGCTTTGGTACATATGTTATCTGGTGTCACGTTAACTATAACTACTATTGTCTATCTCCTCTGTAACCCTTTGCTGTCTGACAGGTGATTTATGGAGACACAGACTCCGTAATGTGCAAACTTGGCGTTCAGACTGTGGCTGAAGCAATGGAGGTTGGCAAAGAGGCGGCAGAATGGGTATCCAGCCACTTCACCCCACCCATAAAACTGGAGTTTGAAAAGGTTCGTAGCCTGCAGCTGCCTTACTTGTAAATGTTTTTTTTTTTTTGCAGCACAACCAACTTTGGACTAATTCTCGTTAGTCTTAAAGGCACCCTGACCATTAATCTCATTGAAGTAGCCCTGTCCCCTTAACCCTGCTATGTAAAACTTTGCAGTTTTAGAGCAAGTGGCTGTCTGGTCTTTGACAGAGTTTAACCCTGTGAAACAACACTGGATGTCCTCACGCTTTGCTTGAGGGTATCCAGCGTCTTGAAAACCCCCACTGAGTCAATGATTTCCTATGGAATGCATGTGCATTAGGTTCGCGCATCACTGTGACATCACAGGAGGAGGAGCCCAATCAAGGGACTTCAGTGTTGGAATTGGCTAAGTAAAAGTAACCATTTCTTGACTTGGTGGGAGGGAGGTGCAGAGGCAGACACTTATAGTGTTCCTTTAAGAGTTCACTTAAAGGGAGACCTTACTTTGCTATTGATACATCCACATTCTTTTTTTCCATTAAAACTATGACAAAATATCTTTTTTTTTTTGTCCGTTTATATATTTTCTTCCCCAGGGTCTTGTTATACCGATCTATGTAATTTGTACATAATGATGTACATTTGTACTTTCACAACATTTTAGTGGTGCATTGTTACTGTTGCCTTGGTTTATTTTTTTTTAAAACAGCCAAATAAAATTAATTAGAAGGGAAAAAGTTGCCAAAACATCTTTTTATAAGGTTGACCGTAAAAAGGAAACCATTCTCATTCAATCACTGCTTTTCCATAGAAATACATTGAAATAGCGCTAAGCATGTGGGTGAGGGACATCATGCCGCTCCAATTCTCTGGACTTTATGTTCACATTGTTACATTTCAGTACTTTAACATGGAATTGTTTGACCCCAATATAATTTTCTCTTCCCCAAAACTAAACTTGAAAACGCTTTCCTTCAGCAAAATGAATATCTTTGATCACATGATGGACTGCATAGGTGAAATATTGGCCGCTTTATGCAAGTACCGTGCCTAAGGGATGCAACATCCAACCACCAAAGGTTATTCCCTAAGGAATGAGTTGTTGATACATTTCAGGTTTTAAACCAAAGTAGCAAAACTTTACAAATGTATTTTTTGTGCTTCGTTCCCCAATTTTGTCCCAAAATTTAAAATTTGCATAGAATTGCTGCGCATGTCCCACTATAGAGAATAATCTTGCTTGATAGTGTTATACAATGTAGCTGGTCCCAAATACCTGCATGTTTAAATCAAGTTTGCCTCTTGCACATCCCCGCTGCTTTTCCCACTCTTGCTACCCATGACGGGATGATGACCCCCTCTCTGGGAGTAAGGCAGCTACTGGGAGGGAGAATACAATTATTGCTATTTTTAAATTTCCTGACTTGGAACATTTTGAATTGGGTGCATCCTAATTTAAATCACATAGGACAAACCTAGGAGTCTAGAAGTATTTGGTACCATCATTAGGTAGACCGTTCCTGCTCTGCAGGTTTTGCATTTCTAACATTCTGCAGTTTAAGGCACTTCACTTGGTGTTTGCTGTTAGTCATTGTAATGTCTTTCTGTAATATTTTTTTGTCCTGTGTTTTTCCAGGTATATTTCCCTTACTTGCTGATCAACAAAAAGAGATATGCAGGGCTCTATTTCTCTTCTAGCCCAGACACTCATGACAAAATGGACTGCAAGGGAATCGAGACGGTCCGAAGGGACAACTGCCCTCTTGTGGCCAATCTCATCAATACCTGTCTGCAGAAGATTTTAATTGACAGGTATGGAATCGCAGACATAACAGGGCCCTTACAGATACTTATAGCTCCACGAAGAGCGAATGAATATTGAAACGCATAAACAAAAAGCAGCATTGTCACTTGTGGAGTCTTTAACATTTTTTGCAAAAACACCACAAGGTGGCATACCCGTTTGAATATGGGTGCTGGAGGGGGGAGCAAATAGGGGATATGCTTATGTTAAACATCCCTGGTGACTTCATCTGCCACAAGTCATCAGTCCTATTGTAATCCTATGCGCACATAAGCGAGACCTTCCATATATAATATTGCACACACGCAATAAGGTACTAGAGGCATCTACTGTGCAGCATGATCCCTGTTCCCATCAGCTGTATTGACAGATGGCTTATGGGAATTGGTGGCAGAAGCACCACTTTTTACTAAAGATTGCAAACTGCATCAGATCGAGTAGTGAATTAAAATTAGTGAAAATAAGTTATTTTACTAAAGATTCTTTATCTATGAAATGTTAAAAAGCCAATTTAAAATATCAAGCAGACATTCCCTGCACCAAATAGTTGGCAGTGTAACATTGCATGGTCATCTGAATTTGACTCTACACTCTTATATAGCAATATATATCATTTAAGAAATGTAAATATGTTTATCCTGTTTGATTCCTCATCCCCCCACCCCCCCTTCTCTCTCTCTGTAATTGTAACTGTAAAGGTTTTTGGGAGTGTGGGTGGAAACTGACCAATTAGCGATTATTACAGCTAAATGCAGGGTAGCTTGGTTAGATAAATATAATCTGTTTGGAACATGGTGTTACACTGACATATGGAAGGAGCTGTGTCTCTTTAAATTCCTCCATTTTTGCCTCTCAGCTAGCTTGCGTTGATTCCTTGTGTGTACCAATATGTATAAACTTTTAGGCCACTGTAAAATTTGACGCTTGGTGAGCAAGCTTCATTGTACTTTTCCTACCCAATTCTGGGCTTGGTGTGTAAGACAAAAAGAAAATGATATAGAATAACAGACCCAGGGTTAATTCTGACATTTTTTTGTCCCTCCTGCCATGGTGCTGACTGCACATTTTAAGAAATGCTGCAGAGGTTTGAGACACTCCTCTATGGTATTTTCATTCAGAATTGGTGCTTTATGGAGACCCTGGGTGACCTATTGGTACACCACATTGATTTGTTTTATTTATTTATTTTTGTTTTTGTTTTTTACTTTTAGAGATCCAGTGGGAGCTGTTGAACATGCAAAGGACATTATTTCCGATTTGTTGTGTAATCGTATAGACATCTCCCAGCTGGTGATAACCAAGGAGCTCACAAGGACTGCGGACGAGTATGCAGGAAAGCAGGCCCACGTGGAGCTGGCAGAGCGGTAGGGAAGCTATAGCGGGCATATTGGCGCTTTGTGCGGATTTTTCTCCTGATTTTTTTCATTACATTTTGAGTCATACAGAAACAATATTTCAATACAGAAATACAAATAAAAGCTACATAAAAGCTGGCCAAAGGTTCCCAGTCCCACTTCCAAAGAATGTGGCTTTATGTAGCAGCTCAATAGTTGACCGAGCAGATAAATCTGCCATGTTGAGTGTTTTTATAAGTTCCATAGGTTATTTATCTCAATAGACACTCTGGTGACATAGCCGCTGGTGGTCCGCTGGCCAGGGGGGCAGGTAATGGGAAAATTAACTTACCAGAACTTGTCCCTTTTGGGTGAGCCATCTTCCTTCGAAGAGTCTTCTTCAGCTCTTCACAGGAGCCAATATCACCGAGGTCTATGAAATGCATATTGACTTATATCGGGATGTGTTTTCACCATGGAAAACAACGCTTGGACCTAGGGTGGCAAGATTCAGTTGTGTCCCCATCAATTGTTTGCTGCTGCCCACTGTAGCTCTTAATGAGCCAAAGGATCAGGTGGCTGCAGTGGGAAGCAGCCTTGTTATATTCTCACACACTGGTGTGTTTGTATGTTTCCACCTGTAGTTTATTAATGCATTACAGTACGGGTGAGAGGCTGTGTAACATGTGAGTGTGTTGGTTTGTCCATGATGGATTCATGTATTTATGCTAGTGGTGTGGGTGTGTGTATGGATGTGGGTGGTGTGAAATCTACTTGACAGGATTAAGCTGTATTAGCCTGTCTCAGTATTGAGTCATCTTCACAATTCCTTACCCTCTGCATTAACCAACTTACGTTTCCCACAAGGTGTATTCTTGAAAATGTCTATTCCAAGATAAGAGGCCACACCAAATCCTCCAGACTCTTCTTGTTTTGGAGTTTATACAGTTAGTTGGTCTGAGATGAGTCAATATTTATGGCAGTTAAGACTCTTATCTAGAATTGCTTTGCATGAAATGCCCTTAAAGGATCACTATAGGGTCAGGAACACAAACATGTATTCCTGACCCTATAGTGTTAACACCACCATCTAGCCCCCCTGGGCCCCTCAAGCCTCAATAAATATAGCAAAATCTTACTGTATTCAAGCCAGAAGCTGTAAATCTGCGTGCTGTTAGACTCAGAAAATCAAGTAGTGTGGTAGCCTGAGCCAATCACAATGCTTCCCCATAGGATTGGCTGAGACTGACAAGGAGGCAGATCAGGGGCAGAGCCAGCATGATTCAAACACAGCACTGACCAATCAGCATCTCCTCATAGAGATGAATTGAATGAGTAAATCTCTTTGAGGAAAGTTCAGTGTCTACATGCAGAGGGAGGAGATACTGAATCACAGGATGCTGTGCACAGTGCTGCCCTGTGCTCTGCTGACAGCAGATCTGAGTGGATGGAGGCATATTATTCCTCCATCAACTCCGAAGTCCCTCTTGTTCACTCTGAGTGACTGCAACTGGAGGTGTTCCTAGCTTTCAATGTAAACACTGTATTTTCTGAGTAAATACAGTATATCAGTGAGAGAGCCTGCAGGGAGCTATAGTTCTCACCTGAACAACCTCATTAAGCTGAAGTTGTCCCTTTAAGTGCCTTTTCAGAAGGCAGGTGTTGACTTTAGCTACAGTGGCCTAATAGAAGCATGCAAAAATAAAGTTGCACATAAATAAGTCATATCTACATCTGTTTACAGACGTGGCAAGCGGTTTTACACAAATATGATCATCTGCTTTAAATAGATCTATATAATCCAACAAACACCAATAAGGAACCTCCACCTCCCAGATTCCCAAAATAGAAAAACAAGAATAATTCTTGATACTCTTTAATGTTTCATACCTCCCAAGTGTCCCAATTAAGGAGGGGTAGTCCTTATTTTGTGTCCATATCCCTCTATCCTAATGTTCTCTTCATTAGGAACTATACACTTTATGGTGTGACTGTATATTTAATAGAGCAGCATAGCAATAACACCAACAGTAACCTTTTAAACTGCTATTAATGTTTTTAGAAATCAGTCTCTGTAAAATAACTTTTGGGTTGTTTTTTTTTTTTTGTTCTAATTAGATTTAAATTTTTATATTGGATCATGAAGTCTCATAAAAGCTCAAAATAGCCCTGCCACTTGCTATACAGCTGGCTTCACTCTGGCCATTTTAATTCTTCGGATTTATGACCCATTCAGGTCTTCATCAAGTCTTGAAACGAAGGAGTTTAAATGTGTCCGATCACTTTGATATTGAGAAAATGGAAGAGTATTGGGATTTATGCTTTAGTTTATATTTAGGGGAGTTCATGGGCAATTATTGTTGTTATGGAATAGCCAAACCTTTCCTGCCCTCTCTGTTTAAATTGTCTAAGAGTTGGGGCACAGACTGGCATTTTCAGTTGCTTTATTCAATGTGACCTCTCAATCCAGGCAAACATGCCTACAGTGTGCCGGTGATACTTCATTTTATTCCAGGTTTCCAAGGGAAAACAGGAAAGCTTAATTGTGCGAAATATAATTCAGGAACCTCTGCTTTGCCAAGAGTAAGCATTATGGCAATAGGATCACTACTTTACATCTTCTGAAGTTGCTTTCTGAGAACCACACTTAATCTGTCATACTCAGGGAAGGTGGAACCATTTTCTGGCACTCCCGTGTCCTGCAATAAGCACCTTCTTACCGCGCCATTCAGCTGGCTGTTACTAACCCCGGCAAAGCCTGTGCTTATCCGTGCGTGACGGAGGGGAAACGCAGAAATAACTTGTCCCACCCAGAGCAGCAGCTGTGTCTGCAACCGTCTGTTGTTGTGGAAGAAGGTGTGGGGGGGGGGGGAGCGTGTGGAAAGAAATATGGGGGATTATTCAGTGAGCAGTGAATTATAGTGAATTGAAAACCAAGTTGCAAAAAGTGGTTTGTTTAAAAAAAAAAAAACATTTTTAAATCCAAAATTATTTTTAAAAGTTCTAGCTTGACTATTTTAACCTTAATTTTGCAACTTGCTTTTCAACTTGAATGTGCTGTTTAGTAAATAAACCCCACCGCAGTGCTGAAGTTAGACATTGCAAATACTTCCTGTAGACTTAATTTAGCAATGGCTTTAGGCAAGAGTTTAATCATAATTCCCCTTTTTCTTCTTTCTTTAAGGGACTCTTCTTATAAATGTACCTTCTTTGAAATAAAAAAAGTAAAAAAAAAAAGGCCAGCGTTCATTTCAGCGAAATGCTTACTTCAGTTAAAAGAATCCTAAATGAAAAAAATATATGAAAAAGTTCAGTATTATTGGCACGTGACTGTTATTGTTATAAAAGGATTCTCGATTAAATCACACACGCAGACTCGTACACACATTGCATAAAACAAATTTTAACTCCATTTAAGCGGCAATGTGTCTGGACCTTTCAGAATTTGCAAAGACCCCCGCGGTGACATAGCCGCTGGTGGTCCGCTGGCCAGGGGGGCAGGTAATGGGAAAATTTACTTACCAGAACTTGTCCCTTTTTGGCGAGCCATCTTCCTTCGAACAGTCTTCTTCAGCTCTTCACAGGAGCCAATATCACCGAGGTCTATGAAGGATCCAGCGGGGTCCTCTGTAGACAGAGCAAATTACTAGCAGCCCTCACTGGTGACTGCTGTCGAGATTGACACTGTAGCTCTGCCCAGTGTCTAAGAAAGTCAGGCAGAGGAAATATTCAGAAACAAATTAAATCCCTACTTTCTCTCTGTGTATCGGTTAACTGGGTTGTAATTTTAATGAAATTCCAGCATAGTCAAAATAAGTATTTCATAAAAATTCTATCTTTATAAAATGCTAATTTTTCAGGAGGGGTGACATTGCTGCTTTTAAGGAATACTAAGCACATAGCTGTTATCGTAGCATTATATTGTCCCTCATGTTGGGAACACAAAATCTATTTATATGTACACCCTATTCTAGAGCGCAGCACTGAATGTAAATAACATGTACAAGTAAAAATTTAAAAAAGATTTGGGGAAAATTTATACTTAATTATCACTGGGTTTCTTTTCATAAATCATTGTCGTTTGCTGTACTAGTTCATAGAATTATGTTGGTTTTAAATTTTTATGCAAGGTGTACCTACCATGGTAATCACATCATGTTAAATGAAAAGATAGTGCATTGCATCCCCAAATCATGCAAGCAAATGTATAGATTTTAAGAAAATAAAACACTGACCTTTCAACACACCTGACAATCCGTTCTCAGTATAGAGGCCTGTGTAAATGTAACAACTGACAGGGGAGAGCAGGAGAACCCTCCCCCAATAAATGTGTACGGTGGGGGAAAAAAAAAAATCATGACATTGGCTCATATAAATTGCAATTGTTTAATATTTTCTTTTACTGTAAAATGGTTAGACAACGGTTAGTGGTTCTCTAAGATGCAAATTAGTTCTAGTCTTTAAAGGGCAGTCCAGGCACTGACACACATTTGTGGAATTGATAGCTAATGCTGGTTTTCTCCACATCCAGATTTTCTTAGTTTTGCTTAAATATATGTATATGCACCACTCCCTGAAGCCACAACTCCTCTTCTCACAAAGCAACTTCTTTATTGGGGTGCGTACTCCGCTCAGTTTATTAGAGATAAGTGTGAACTGAGCTGTGGACGTGACCCCCACAGCCAATCACTTTCCTTGACACTAAGTAAGCAGATCCCCGTAGTGACTGTACTCTATGCCGGTAACAGGATACAAAACATTACAACAATGTTTATAATAAGTGTCCGTTGTGTAGTCTTTATTTATGTAAAACACTTTTCATGGGTTTAAAGAGCTAAAAAGACAAAGATACAAATAATACACAGTTTAATCTGGAGTTCCTTAATTTTAAATGTAGAATGGCAAACACACCGCCTAATCTGTGCTTACTAAAACAAACAAATGCTGCCACGTACAAAAGTTAACACCTTAAGGACACATGACATGTGTGACATGTCATGATTCCCTTTTATTCCAGAAGTTTAAAGGGTTAAACACATGTGCTGATTCTGCCAATGGGCTGTATTTTGGGATATTCACTGTGGAAGAAATATTACCACAAGAGCTTTATTGTAAGGTTTTATTTACCAGCAAGCTCACACAGAAATTAAGCAAAGGAAATTTAGAAATAGTTGGATAAATTTGAAATAGTGTGTGTGTGTGTGTTTTCTCAATGATGTTGTGCTGTAAGCCTGTCCTCTTCGTTTTCATGTCCTGCAGGTAGAGGATCTGTATTGTAGATTACTGCGGGTTTATACAATTTGTACAGCCTGATGATCCAGTGTTGTGACCAAGCGCTTTAAGCCAGTCCTCGATGGGCTGCTGCTTTGCAGTTATAAAAGGTATATTGTTAATTGGGGGTTCATGGAGCACATAGAATCATATATTCTATACTTGTGCTATATTGTGACCCCGTTACCCACTTATTTACAATATAGTTTCTTTAGCTGAAGGACAGGCAGTCCGTGATGGTTAGTAAATAAAACGGATGCGAGGAATATGCTGTTGAAAATATACTTCCACCAAATTATCTGCTGTATGATGATATGACAGCCAAAAACCAATCAGTCCCCAAGGTTAGTGTGGAAGGGGAAAGGAGGCATTGAAAATGCACAACTGAGCTCACAATAGTGTAATGAAAGCTTTGTCAGTCCATATAAACATTTTCTACATGTTATGTTGGATATCTTGGGGATATTCCAAACATCTGGGAGCCTTTTTGTTGTTGTTGATATGCTTGGGTTTTTTTTGTCTGTGTTTTTGCTATTAAATCCCACTTTGTAGTTTAAAAAAAAAGTTGATCGGTACCTGCCCATTTCTCGAGGAAGACACATGTCCGCTTGCCTATTTTTTATTCTTTCACACATTATTGGTGTGACAGGCCTCAGTGCTTACTGACCAGGTGTTCCTGCCCTCATCCTCCCCCTCCTTTCTGTGGTATGGCAAGTACCTTGCGCACCTTTCCTCTCCCACCCACTTTGGTTGTTGATGTGGGTGGGGACATTGTAAGCCTCACACTTTGCGCTCTATTGCCTTTGCTTAAGCAGTGATGGATTCCCCTGGGTATCTGTGTGCAGCTCTCAGACGACGTACTGTTGCAGACGTAATTCTAAACATTTTGTGTGGAAGCCTGTATGTTACTTTATGCGTCACTGTACCTAATCTTTTCCATTCTCCCACTCTCCCTCAAGCAAACTGAAATTGTAACTTACTTGCAACAAGTCATTTACAGACTACAGCTTAATTAAAATAAACCATTATCGGCATAAAAACAACCAGCCTTTAGTTAATTAGTAGAGCGTAATGGAAATGACGGTTTAGATGTTTACCCCATATTTATCGTTGTGGGGCGGGAGGGGTGGGGTTTGTTTTTTTACATTCTCATTAATTCCATTAAATGGCATAGGAGTTATCTGATTGGATAGGAGAATTAATCTAGTAACAAATACATAATATAGGTTGTGTTTTTTTTATTTATTTACATCCATTTTCGATCAGTAGTGGAGTGGCGGTCTACCACCCAGTATCTTTTTTTTTTATTTTAAGAGTAATTGTTGTGGGTTCATGAAATAGTATACCTTTAGTTGTCGTATCTATCGTTCAGCCAATAGCATATCGGAATTATTTAGTACTGTGCATGTGTGTATACAAGTGGCTACAAACCCCAGTCATTCTAAGTTCTAGTGTATGCTCTACGTTCTAGAACTATTTATCTCAAATCCAATTCTAGTGCTGAGAGATTATGTAGCTGATCTTTCCCATGTCCATATTACCTATTGTTCTCTATCGCGTCTTTGCAAGGCAGGTGTCTCTTGAGGTGTTAGCTCCACTGAGCTAAACAAACAGGAAGCAACAGGACCAGACAGCTAAAGGTGTATAATCTATCTATTGAAATTAGCAATTTTTGTAAAAAAAAAATAAAAAGACACACTCTCTCAATACATCAAAAGTGCTTTAGGAGTCTATAGTGTCCCTTTAAGTAATTTTATGTAAAATAAAGTAAAGTGGATTTTTTTTCTTTTGATTTTGTTAAGGAAATGCAAGTTTAGTAACTGGTAAAAAATAAAAGTGGTTTCGATAATGGGAATCTCTTCTTAAAACATCCTACAGTGTAGGAAGGTTCCTTGTAGAGGAGATGACCTGCTTTGGGATCTAGTTGTAAGTCAGTTGGTGGGGTAACTTTACATTTATTTTGATGACCGTTGGCATCAGAGATTTAGTCTTAATTTTTTTTATTGTGCTTTTTCCTCTTTTTCCTGCACAGAATGCGGAAGAGAGATCCGGGCAGTGCCCCAAATCTAGGAGACCGCGTGCCGTATGTCATCATCGGAGCAGCGAAAGGAGTGGCTGCGTATATGAAGTCCGAGGTGAGCACTTAATGTGTGCTGTGAACATTTTGTCTTCTGTTAGTGAAGTGCCACTCTCAACCACATGGCCAGAGTGCCATAACTGCTGTATCTCAAGGGCTTTAAATAAAGAGATTTTTCTTTTTTTTAAGGAACAAGTTATACAGTAGCACCATGATTGGCTGTAGACGAGGTGTTTAGATTACCAAGGTTTTGGTAACTTAAGTTATTTGTGTAGAAATTCCCACAATGAATAAAACATTGAAAGTCACCTATAATTTGTCAACCATTTTTCATGAGATACTTTTTCCTTTTAAATCTTTAATAAAAGGTTACCCTAGGCACCATAACCACTAAAACATAGTGGTTGTGGTGCCAGAAATCTGCTGGTGCCATATCGGTGTAAAAGGAATACTGCAAGCACCATAATTATTACAGCTCATTGTGGTTATGGTGCCACGGGTGCCATGGCGCTTTTCCTGAAAAAGTAGGCACACCGTTTGAGAACAGACTGACAGTTTATAGGAGGTCCAACGGGCGCCTTGTTCTGCAGATCCAAGAGCTCCTCCAAGTAACTTAAGTTGGCTTCCCTGGGCAAAGCTCTGTTGTGCAGGGCCAGTTCTTTGGCTGAAAGCGTTGTCTCAATGCAGGGAGCTTCAGGCTAGCGAGGGGGAGGTATCTGCATCCAGTGGGCCCTGGGTAGACTGTCAAACTGTTCGCCAGTGGTTTGACTACATTCCCAACAAAGAATCCAGGGTACTCCTGGCTTCATATGTTCCTTTAAGCTTCCAACTTGTTTTGAATCGTTCAATACTGGGTGTGGGAGCCTGCAGTCCAGTCTCTCTTCTTAGCATTAAAGCAGAAGTTCCTTCAAATAAATCTGTCCTCCTTTGGATGAGCTGACACTTCTCAGCCAATGAATTCCATTCAAAGTTGGACACACCGTAAAGCTTATAGGAGATTGTGCATGGGTAAGGCAGCAGTGAATCTAAACAAGGAATTCCAACAACCTTGTGACAAACTGTATAAAACAAGACAATTGATAAACCGTGCCTAGGTAAATATAGTATATATCCCTTACAAGTGAAAAAAAAATATATATATATATATGTATATATATCACAAATATACATTATTTTACGTAGTGCCAAGTATCTTGGGAATCAGAAAACAAAAATATATAATAGTGTAAAAATAACTATGTAACAGGCATATAATAAAGGCACACTCACACTTTATAGAGCTACTAAGAACTCTGCTGTATTCATCATGGATGGTACAATCCCCATCTCAGGATATATTTTGCAGTAATGATGTTGTCTCTTCAGATGTTAGCATAATATGCAGAAACTAAAAAAAGAGAATATCCAGTGATACAGTATATATGAATAGTGACCTTCTCATAGACGAAGGTAAGCACTTACTTGGAGCAGAGCAATAAACCTGCATTGGTGGTATAATCCCCACCTGGGATATATGGGATTAGGAAACCACTGAGATGTATAGTAAGAATCAAAATAAATTCCAAATAAAGGAGATTTTTAAAGGATTAAACTTTTTATTAATTACAAATAAATAAAATAGTATAAAAGCAATATAGCAGCAATAAACAATATGAAATAAAGCTATAAAATCACACTAAATGAGTTTCACCATAAGGCTTCCAATGTGTGGTGATCTTTAGTGCAGCGTCAGATTACATAAGGGATTCAGTGATTGTTCAATAATTTCAGCTGTTAATGGCGGATGCTTATTGGCTTCCTTGTAAAACTTAAAGTACTTCCTGTTTCGTGTATTACCAGGAAGTGACATCACCTGGATCCTCATGGGTTTGTAGATAATGCCTACTACAGGCCATAGAGATGTCACCCAGAAGTGACGTTTTGAATATTGTATTGCCCGTACCTTTAAGGGCTTGCTGGATACGAATACAGATTTAATGTTTGGCTTACACTCCATTTGAATGTGGCGTCGCACCGAATTGTCAGTATTTGGACACAACTTGCTGCTAAAATAGAATAGGAACTTCACAGATATTTCTAAAACAGAAGATTGGCCAGGCTTTGTGCAAATTGAGAACCCAAGTAACTGTCTAACCGTTTAAAAACAGATTGACTATTAAAACTAGGCCGGCAACCAGGAGACTTCTGGCATTATAACACGCATGCTGTGGTGGTTATGGTGCTTAGGACGTGCTTTTAGAGGATTGACAATAGACATCACAATAGGTTTTAGTCCATACACCACTTTTTCTCCTTTCTCTATACTGACTGACCTGTACAAAGGACTGAACTTATAACTATACTTGCCAAGAAGCAAAATGGAGGCGCTCCATTTCAGGACAAACATAAATTGGATTGTAATTTTCAGATCTCACAAAAACCACAATTTAAAAAAATCCTGATAAATTACGGTTTTCATTTAAACTAAGCAGGCTGCAGAAAAAGCATGTGAAAATGTATTTATATACATTACAAACACCCAATCGAAAATGAAGATAAAGTTTTTGTAGAAATGGAAATGTAATGCAATATCTGTGCTTCCATAACGGTCATAACACTGACTCTTTTTATATGACTTACAAAAATAGCTTGCATGTATTATCACATCTGTGTATTGTTTACTAATGCATACAATCTCTTATTTTCAGCAATTAGAAATGCTAATAGTTTTCCTTTAAGGAAATTGAAAGATCCAACTTGTGTAGCAACTGCAGAGCAGAACTGTATGTAACTTCCAGTGTTAAAAGAATTCTGTCAAGTTCTATGGCTGTATCTCACTGAGCGCTTCCATTTAATTATCCCCCATCGTGAGCATGAGATTACCTGACTGACGATTACTCTGCTCTGCCCGGGAACACATTCTAAGTATCTTACTGCACATTTACGTATGGCAATGACAGGGGATGCCTTCGCAATGAAAATGCGTTATGTGGCAAAGGGATCTTTGGTCAGTTAAACGCTTGCTCTCGACCCAGAGTCAATAAAAATGGCAGCGCTTAGGAAGAAAGTGGTTTCCTTTAACCAGGACATTCCATGCTGACATAAGGTCTTTAGACACCAAACTCTGATCATTTGAAAGTTCAGTGGGGGGGAAAAAAGGAGCATAGAACCCAGACTAGATCTTTGGTCGTAAAGACGAATTTGAGTTTGCAAAAGGGGAAAGTTGCAAAGACGGCAACTTCTTAAGATTTTGAAACACAGTCCCCACCACCACATCATTAGCTGCTCTCCAGATGCTTTCATTCGATTTGCATAAGGTCTCCAAAGACTTGAGGTTTGTTTGTTTTTTGCTTGTTTTTTTTTTTTTCTTCAGTACTTTTAACAAGAAATCATGTTGGTGGCTCCATGGTTCACAAGAAAATAGCTGCTAATCAAAATGCAGCTGACTATTATGATAGGATCAGACAAAAGTAGGAACTAAGGACCCATGGTGAAATGTATCCAGGTCTAGCTCAAAGACTGAGTCTATATCTCTTTTGAATAAAAGTGAAAGGTGTGAAACACCTGCAGATCTCTGAAGCACCTAGGGGAAAGAGTGAGATTTAGAGGCAGGTTCCACTTCTGCTTTTTGATTATTTATTCTTTTTCAGAGGTTAATCTAGCAGGGAAAGTGGTTCCCTCTTGCCAGGGGCAGAGGACACTGTCTCCTGCCCAACTTCTGCAATCCCTGTATTAATTGAGCTGAGTCAATGTGAGGCACACTCATTATTGTGATTACTGTTCCAATGGCCTGTCATCGTAGAGGAACTGTTTTACTGTGCTCGATGTGATAAGATTTAGTCTGTTTAAATAGATGCCATTGTTAGTAACTGTGCAACAAAGGAATTTTAACAGAAAATAATTGTTTTCGTACCTTTGGTCAATAGCTATGCTTAATGATTCAGGTATTTTTTTTTATCTTTCTCTGAACAATGTATCTTTTCAAAGCTGAATAGAGAATAAAGATCCTCTGATCATATGAATAGAGCAATTGAATGATGTTTGTTTTACACCAGAGCATGTTTTTGATACTGAGGTCTATTTGTTGATTATCACAAAAAAAAAAGTGATTAATAAAATGCCCAGACATTGCCGTGATTTTTCAGACTGAACATGGTTTAAAGTCAGAGTTTGTGACTTTAAAAGTTGAAAGGGAAAATTTTACTGCAGGAGTGAATAGTTTAAACTCAATTCTGTTTGTTAGGACATTTTGTAATTCAATCTCTACCAAGTTTAACTGATGTTAGAAGTATTAGTGAATCATACTGAAAAATCCTTTTGTTTTTTTTTCTTCTTCACTTTCCGTAGGACCCTATCTACGTCCTTGAGAACAACATCCCTATAGACACCCAGTACTACCTGGAGCAACAATTAGCAAAACCTCTACTGAGAATCTTCGAGCCTATCCTGGGGGAGTCCAAGGCAGAGAGTGTACTTCTCAGTGAGTACCGTATTGCGCAGCACGTTAAACCAAGCTAGTCCAGCAGGCATCTTTACAGTACCTTCAAAGTCTTGTTAGCTATTTTATGTAGTATAATAGCCAGAGACAATAGGGTCTTTTAAAATAAAACTTGTTACAGGCTGGTGCATTTTAAAAAGAAAGAATGAATGTATGGATCAAGTTGCTGTTCAGACCTCCTAATAATGTGCTCGAGAGACACCACTTTTTGAAGCTCTGCTTTTGCCGTAACAGCGTCCAGTTCTTGTATTCCGAGCTTTCTACGGATTCTGTCACATTGGTTGGATTGATTGCAAAGTGGCATCTTTAGCCAATGGGATCATCCAGGTCCAACCATTGTGACAGTCACTACTGGAGAGTCTAGAGCTGTCAATCTCCTGAATTTTTTGGAGCTGAAAATCAGCGTGTTTGCTGATTTTTAGTTTATTTTTGTATATTGGAAAACAGGAGTCAGATGTAGTCACTGAAGTGAGATATGTCAAGAATTCAAAGTGAATATCAAATGTAAGGCCAAAATAGCAAAACTGGAAAAATTCTCAAAGTCCACTTCTAGTTCACATACTTTGACTTTAAATTTGTTTTTCGTTCTCACTGTAGTGAGTAACACGATTTCCCCATTATTTTTGGTTTTAAAACATATAAAATAGCATTTTCTTTGAATTTATTTATTTATTTTACTTTTTGGGTTTCAAGCATTGGCTAGCCCACTCCATTAGAAGTAGTTATCCCGTTAATTATTGATTAACGGGTGTTTAGAAAATAATAAGTCTATTTTGCTGACACAAAGGTAGAAAGTAAAAAAAATAAAATAAAAAAAAGGCATTTAAACACTGTTTGTGGGGTAACCAAGTTGTCCCATAGGCAAATACGTATGTAATTCTTATAGCAATTTATTTCCCTGTTGATTACTCCAACAACTCAAAACATTCTTTATTCCTCTCATTTTTTTTTTTTTTGTATTAAATAAAAAGTTCAATATACACTCACAATGCAGAGCTTAATGTTTTACAAAACATTCTGAATGGATACAGTCTGCGAAGACTGGTAGAGATATGTCTTACCTCTTTGGACAGGTTGGGGAGAATTTGTCACTATTGCCGATTGTACGGATTGGACTTAGTGGCACGTTGTCCATAATTAAATTACGTCTATATATAGTCCTAGACAAATTGTTAGTACATTTAGAGATCTATATATTACCTTGTGCCTCCTCCCTGCATCCATGCCATTAATAGTCTCTCTGTTGGGGTTTCCATTTTCTCATTGTATATTCATTTAAAATAGGGCATGCCGACTTTTTTCTGACTTTCCAAACTGGAGAATAATGATTAACGCCATATGCCCCGATGATGTTACATGAAAATAATTTACCACAATGTTTAGACCGTTTAATAAGAGGAGTGCAGTAATGACCAGCTGTATGGAGTGATCAGGGCTTCTATAGTGATGTTTAAGTTGCCAGTACTGATGCTCTTGAGTGCTATTGCTGAGCAGTCATCCTTCCTGAATCTGCCGGTGTGTGTAAAAAAACAAAACAAAACAAAAAAAAAACACATACTTTCTCTTTCTCTCTCTCTCTCTTTTTTTCTCTTTCTCTTTCTTTCTCTCTCTCTCTTTCTCTCTCTTTCTCTCTCTTTCTCTCTCTTTCTCTCTCTCTCTCTCTCTCTCTCTTTCGTTCTCTCTCTCTCTCTTTCGCTTTCTCTTTCGCTTTCTCTCTCTCTTTCTCTCTCTTTCTCTCTTTCTCTCTCTTTCTCTCTTTCTCTCTCTCTCTCTCTTTCTCTCTCTCTCTCTCTCTCTCTCTCTCTCTCTCTCTCTCTCTCTCTCTCTCTCTCTCTCTCTCTCTCTCTCTCTCTCTCTCTCTCTCTCTCTCTCTCTCTCTCTCTCTCTCTCTCTCTCTCTCTCTCTCTCTCTCTCTCTCTCTCTCTCTCTCGATTTCTCTCTCTTTTTCTCGATTTCTCTTTCTCCTCCCCTTTTGGAATGATATGGATTTCTGCACAAATTGGTCATAAAATATGATCTGATCATCATCTAAGTCACAACAATAGACAATCACAGTCTGCTTAAACTAATAACACACAAAGAATGAAATGTTGCCATGTTTTTATTGAACACACCATGTAAACATTCACAGTGCAGGTGGAAAACGTATGTGAACCTCGAGACTAATGACATCTCCAAGAGCTAATTGGAGGTGTTGGTTACAGCTGCCCTGTCCTATAAAAAACACACACCAGTTCTGGGTTTGCTTTTCACAAGAAGCATTGCCTGATGTGAATGATGCCTCGCACAAAAGAGCTCTCAGAAGACCTACGATTAAGAATTGTTGACTTGCATAAAGCTGGAAAGGGTTATAAAAGTATCTCCAAAAGCCTTGCTGTTCATCAGTCCACGGTAAGACAAATTGTCTATAAATGGAGAAAGTTCAGCACTGCTGCTACTCTCCCTAGGAGTGGCCGTCCTGTAAAGATGACTGCAAGAGCACAGCGCAGACTGCTCAATGAGGTGAAGAAGAATCCTAGAGTGTCAGCTAAAGACTTACAAAAGTCACTGGCAAATGCTAACATCCCTGTTAGCGAATCTACAATACGTAAAACACTAAACAAGAATGGATTTCATGGGAGGATACCACAGAGGAAGCCACTGCTGTCCAAACAAAACATTGCTGCACGTTTACAGTTTGCACAAGAGCACCTGGATGTTCCACAGCAGTACTGGCAAAATATTCTGTGGACAGATGAAACCAAAGTTGAGTTGTTTGGAAGAAACACACAACACTATGTGTGGCGAAAAAAAGGCACAGCACACCAACATCAAAACCTCATCCCAACTGTGAAGTATGGTGGTGGGGGCATAATGGTTTGGGGCTGCTTTGCTGCATCAGAGCCTGGGTGGATTGCTATCATTGAAGGAAAAGTGAATTCCCAAGTTTATCAAGACATTTTGCAGGAGAACTTAAGGCCATCTGTCTACCAGCTGAAGCTCAACAGAAGATGGGTGTTGCAACAGGACAATGACCCAAAGCATAGAAGTAAATCAACAACAGAATGGCTTAAACAGAAGAAAATACGCCTTCTGAAGTGGCCCAGTCAGAGTCCTGACCTCAACTCGATTGAGATGCTGTGGCATGACCTCAAGAAAGTGATTCACACCAGACATCCCAAGAATATTGCTGAACTGAAACAGTTCTGTAAAGAGGAATGGTCAAGAATTACTCCTGACCGTTGTGCACGTCTGATCTGCAACTACAGGAAACGTTTGGTTGAAGTTATTGCTGCCAAAGGAGGTTCAACCAGTTATTAAATCCAAGGGTTCACATACTTTTTCCACCTGCACTGTGAATGTTTACATGGTGTGTTCAATAAAAACATGGCAACATTTCATTCTTTGTGTGTTATTAGTTTAAGCAGACTGTGATTGTCTATAGTTGTGACTTAGATGATGATCAGATCACATTTTATGACCAATTTGTGCAGAAATCCATATCATTCCAAAGGGTTCACATACTTTTTCTTGCGTGTGTGTGTGTGTAAAGCTTCCTGTAAAATCATTTTTGCATGCACAGCTTTCCAAAACACACAAGGTTTTGTCTTGTAGACATCTTTATCTTTAACATTTACTGATCCTTTTAATTAATGAGGAAGTGGATAAAATTGATGGGAAACCTAATAATAGATTTTATTTTTTATTTTTATTTTTTTTAAAAACTTTTTAAAGAGAAGTAGGAGAATTTCCTTTTAAAGATACTTTTTTTTTTAAAATAACTTTTTTTTTTTTTTTATTACTTCCAGAGGGGGAACACACACGTTGCAAGACGGTGTTAACATCGAAGGTTGGTGGTCTGATGGCATTCGCTAAGAAACGCAGTACTTGCATTGGATGCAAAGCAATGCTAACTCACGATGGTATGTAGGACCAAGATCAAGGTCAATTTGTCATTGGCCATGTTTCTCATGCATAATCGATGTTGATACCAGTGCATTTGTTCCTTATAATCCATTTGGCCTTATGTGAACCAACTAACAATATACAAATTCTAGAATTTCCTCATAGTTTGGGAAGTTTTTTTAAAAGTTCTGACCGAGCACCTTCTGTTCCACTTGATTCTGTCACTGTGACCTTCACAGACTACCTGTGCGGAAACGTGCCAGGGACTTTTCCCACCATCCACTGTTCACTGAGCTGCGTTGAGGCACGAGAATGGACCCTGGGCTTTGCATGCCAGTTCACTGACCCAAATATTAACAGGGCTGGTGGAAGCTGTTTTCATGCATGTGATTAGACACCTAGGTTCCTGCTCAGCTTTAGGAACTTTAATACTACAGGTTGCTATTGATTTGCCTCAGTAAATTTTGGTCCATTGCCAAAAATCGACAAACCTCTATAGTGGTTTGAACTCTGAAGGTTATCTGTCTGAAGGCCACCTCTGAATTGTATGATACCACCACAGTTAATATATGGAATTCTTTTCATAATGCCATACTTTAGGAACTGGACATGGTATACGCCTAATATGCTACCACCAACTTATCTTCCTCATCCATTCTTGTTGGACATCCTAGTCTGAATAACTTTGTCTACTTGTGGTGTATATATTATATTTTGGGTTGAAACATAAATTATATTCCGTTTTCTTTGACGATCTTTATTTTCATATTTTGCAAATACACAAAGCAAATGGAATAATAAAAATGGAAGGATTGGGCAAGTAACAGTAAAACCGTAACACGTGTCCGAGTGTAGGCCAATACTATTACAGCATCAGATTCTGGTCCTTTACTTGACTGGTATTTAGCTTCCTTGATTACACCAAACTTAAACATTTTTCCATCGGATCTCTTTATAAAATTCTGTGTGGAATTTCTTGTTTAACATCACAAAGCTGGTTCAGAAACATTCTAAAAGCGTGGCTGTTTTTTCCTGGAACAATTTCCATTTCTTGGTAAAAGCTGAAGAAAGTTCCTCCTTTTGCTAGTTTTGGTTTTTCTTCCAGTCTTTGCTTAATCGTGTTGCTGACCAAAGGAAAAATGCAACACTTCAAAAATGATGTAATACGAGAAAATCCAACTGTGACATTTTTTTTTATTATTTTAGCTCCCAAGCTTCTATAAATTTGTGCTTGTTATGTTACACTGGACTTGTTACCTCTAAACATCTAAATATTCAGGGGACAATTTAGACAAACCAATTTTAGGAGCTGAGAAGGCCTCCATTATCAGGATTTATGTTAATTGCCTTCAAATTACAGTAACATTCTTGCAGTCTGTGGTCTTGACCTGTTTCCATGCAATAAAACTGCCCCTGTTTTGAGATTGAGCTGTTATCCTCACCATATATGCCTTGAAAAATGTTGTTCTACTTGGGACATTTAGACACACAATATGTAGGAGATGTCCCATTACACTCTAACTGGTCCCAGCAGTATGGCAGGTTCATATTCAAAATGTAAAGTTGGTTGTCTACAACAGAACCAGCCACCCAGATATTTTTCAGTCTCTCTTAGGCCCTGTCAGTACATCTAGGCTCAATGAGGATTTGATCAACATCTGGAACAACGAAAAATTCTAACTCTTAAAAAATAACTTTTACAGTCTAACTCGATAAGAGCTAAGAAAAAATAAATAAATGTAAAAAAAAATCTTCCGTTCAGTTTGTCCTCTCCTGTCCATATACCTCCTCTCACAGATTCTGCAATAAATATTCCATCCAAGGCCATCAAATCTTTACAGTTCATCAAGTGCGGTTAAGGAAAGGCCTTTTCTGCCTGTTTAATATAAAAAACAAAAGTTGATTAACACACAGCAAAGGTAACCGATTAGCAACTCTGTTTGTTGTAATTGTAGATGTGGGGTTTGCAGGGATGTATTATTGACAACGTTTTCAAGAAAAGAGGAACATAGAAAGTTAATGATAAATATTAATTTACATTTGATTTTATTTGAGGAATTGCACACTTCAAAGCACGTGTATAATCTTTACAGAGCGTTGTAAGCTGTAAATCAAGCTACAAGGTGACCTTTATTATGTGTTTGAATACCTTGCCGTTTGAGATGAAATTAAACGTAAACTTACTGGTAATAAAAGATGGGTTACTACAGGATTTTATTATGTTCACATTGACCCTGTAGGTTTTTACTTCGGTAGATATAAAAACAAGTCTGTGTTCACTAATTCCAGGCTTTTAAAAGTAGACTGCAGGATCTAAAACATTTTGCAAACTCTGTTGAAATGCTCAAAGCTGTCGTTATAACGGCATTGCTACTTGATGATTCTTTTAATCACCCCCCTACCCACAATTGACGGGTCTGCTTCCATGATGGATGGATGTTGTAGTAAATTCTTGAGTGTCTATGCCGAAGAAGGATCCCTCAAAGTCCAACCTGAGATATGCAGGTGATCCATAACAGTCCATTTTTGTATGTATTGTTTGGTCTCCTTTTTTTGGTACCTAGCTACATGCTCTTAGAGATACTTAAACTTCCAAACCAGAAACTGCACCATGCTGATGAGACCTACAAGGTCGAAACTGTAGTCCATGGCGGGTTTTTGGTCACTGATCCTTTTGGATCATAGCTTATGCTTTTTGTGTCCATTACTAAGGGTATCTGCAGAAATACAGCATGAAATCTAAACATGATGCCTGTCTGTGCTCATTTGCATGTCATGTTGGGAACTCTGGGATAGTTGTGGAAACATGATTTCTATAATTTCTATGCCCAAGGACGACACCTGAAATTCCAACATGAGATAGGAAGGTGATGCATAAGTGTGTGTGTGTGTGTACTGGTCAGCCACATCATTAAAACCACTGACAGGTGAATTGAATTACATTGATGGTATAATTACAATGGCACCTAGTAAGGGGTGGGGTATATTAGGCAGCAAGTGAACAGTCAGTTTCTTGAATTTCATGTATTGAAAGCAGGAAAAATTGCCAAGCGAAAAGATCTGAGTGACTTTAACAAGGGCTTAAACGGTGATGGCTAGACGACTGGATCAGAGCATCTCCATAACGGCAAGTCTTATGGGGTGTTGCTGGTATCAGATGGTTAGTACCTACCAAGAGTGGTGCAAGGAAGGACAAATGGTGAACTGGCATCAGGGTCATTGGCACCCAAGGCTTATTGATGCACGTGGAGAGCGAAGACTAGCACATCTAGTTTGAGAACACAGAAGAGCTACTGTAGCTTAGATTGCTGAAAAAATAATGCTGGCCATGATAAATAGATGTCAAAACAAACCGTGCATCACAGTTTGACTGGTATGGGGCTATGCTACCCATGGACAGCAGAGTGCCCATGATGACCCATCTCCACTGTAGAAAGCTCTTTCAGTGTGGTTGTGAACATCAGAACTGAACTATTGAACAATGGAAGAAAATTGCCTGTTCTGAGACCTCACGGTTTCTTTCAGATCAGGTAGATGGCCAGTTGCATGTGTGCTGTTGGTCACCTGGGGAAGAGATGGCAGCAGGATGCACTATGAGAAGAAGTCAGGATGGTGGAGATAGTAATGCTATAAAAACTTGGTCCTCGCATTCATGTAAAGCAAGATTAGTATGTATATAGCACTTAAGGTAAAGATGAATAAGCAGCCCTAACAACACTCGTGTGGGAATACCTCATCCCCACACCTAAAATCGTAATAAATAAGAAATATATAATACTAAATCTAAATGAGCGTGGAGCGCCAGGTGGAAAGTGAGCCATGCATAAATTATAATGCTTACCCCTCATGGTATGTAGGGAAAAATGTGGCATTAGACGGGATATATGAAATAAAAACATAGAGAATATAGTGCAGATGGTATAAAGTGCTAATAGTATAATATACTTGTGGTATGTATCGTATGTATCTGTATAGTAACTGGCTCAAAGAAAGGAACTTTTATGCTCTTAGGGCAGCATCACACCTCTGGTAGATGTTAGGTGAATATTCTCCAGACATAAAAAGAAATAGAAAATCTACAATAGTGACTTAACATGTATATAAGGATTTTAAGCTCACCTTGTTCAGAGCCTGGCTCTGAGGTGGAAAGGCGAGGTGGAAAGGCGAGATGTCAAGTTATGGGGTGACACTACCCCTATTGAAGTGCAGAAGTCACATGGTCAAGTCTAGACACCGGATGAATCCAACAATGATTTATTGATAATAAAAATATATGTATAAAAACAAATAAACACCTTTAAACACAAATGTTGGAAATAGTCCAATAAGTGCAGATCCTGTTGCCAAAACGCGTTTCGCTTAAAAGTAAGCTTTCTCAGCCAGCCTGTTACTTGTAGACTTCTGTGTTGGTTTTTTTTTATGTTGGCGCCGGGATTGTTCTTCCGATAACGCGGGGTATTCTCATCCAATAAGGAGGCTGAGTCCTTGATTAGAATTACACACTAAACACGTGTGTTAAAAATTATTTTTGGTTTATCTACAAACATTGGTCAATTTCAAAAGAAGATCCAGTACTTTTTAATCTCTTACCGGGTAAACCCCCCTCTCCCCCCAAAATTTTAGAGGCGCACCCAGCATTAAACATAAACTTGTTAAGAACCACATAAAGAATGATCTCAATTTCATGGTTCCGTCCTCCCCAAACCAGTGATTTTAATAGGGAGTTCTTTTCTGCATAATTAGTGTCTTGCTAGTCCTTTTTAGTAGTCTCTTTAAAATAATTTCAGTCACCACAGATAACCCGTAACTCTTGTGCACTTCCTTAATTATAGGAATGTAAATAGACAGCCTTCCGCTCATCCACAGCCTCAAATTTTAAGTTGTGCAATGTCAGCACCAACCATCAACCCGATAATGTTTGCATATTTGTGTTGTTATTGAGACGCCTATCAATCTCAAAGTGTCATTTATGTCTTCTACCATGGCTTGATTTACCATATTGATGCTATGTGGCACAAGCATTATCATTTTCTGCCTCTGTTGTAGTGTACTTGTTGTGTTTAGAAACCTATCATATCTGTGCTTTTTATTCTTCATATGCTGAAATAGTTTTGCAGATGATATGGAACTATTTTACCTCCGTTAATCTACTTGTATTTTGTTGCAAAACTCGATACATCACTGATTTCTCAGTCCCACCCCTCCGTCAGAAACTGCTGTAGCCCGCTTTAGAAAAGGACCATCAACCAATAAATGGGTCATAATCGGGTGACACACACCCAGCAGCCATTGCTTTCCTTAAAGTGTGATGCTCTATTGGTCTTCACTTGAGTACAGATTTATATGTGTTGTTATTAGGAACTGAGCATGTAGCAACAGTGTATGTAAGGGGACGCATGATAATTAATAGTGTGGTGGAGGGTGGAAATCTACTTGGCTTACATGAAAATGGGCACTTTTTGGGGGGTTTTTTTTTTCTGCTTCCACCTATTTGGATACTAGGGAGGCATTGAGGTATAGGGTAAATGGTTCAGCATATTCTTTTGTAATCGATTTATTTAAACTTCTATTTTGTGAACTTGTTTTGAAGCTTGGTGGCCTTTAGAAAGGACAATGTAAGGTCTGAAGTGGTGATACTGTACACCATCTCTAAAAGAATGGAATAATGTTCCTAGCAGACTAAAAATAAATTTATCTTGTGAAAAAAAAGTGCATGTAATCCATGTTTGTAATCACCACTGAGATTTTCCCCAAAACTTCACCAAACTACTTGTGCTGATATGCCCTGCAACTGAAAACAAGTGGAACTGCAAAATATGTTGGCACTTTATAAATGCCAATAATAAATTTAAAAACAACTTCTGGCTCAACCCTGACACATTTCACTGATCTGATAGTGTTTACCATTCTGTCTTTGTTTTTTTTAGCTTTGGCTGTATAAAATATAAGACACAGAATAGCAAGCGCTAATATATCCGATAACACAAGAGCTTACATGTAAGCCGTTGATTTCCATGGAGCTTATTTGTTTTCTCACACAGACCATACGACAGAAAAAGGATAGTTATTTCTATTCTGCAAATCTTGCGGTATTGGCAAAATTTGTCTGCCTACAAAAGTGCTGAGTGTGAACTTGGCTAATTTAGACCCGGGTTTTGCAAGAAGCAACAAAACAGAACTAAGTCAGAATCGCACTGTTATTTATTTACTGTTATTTATTCTTAAAGTAATGTATATTCAGAAACCAGTAAAGAGTGGTGGAAAAAGAATAGGTGGGACATAGAATTCTGGACAAATGACAGTAGGTAGATACATTGACATTAAAGGACCACTATAGGCACCCAGACCACTTCAGCTCAATGAAGTGGTTTGGGTGCCAGGTCCATCTAGGATTAACCCTTTCTGCTGTAAACATAGCAATTTCAGAGAAACTGCTATGTTTACCGATGGGTTAATCCAGCCTCTAGTGGCTGTCTCATTGACAGCCGCTAGAGGCGCTTCCGCGCGTCTCACTGTGATTTTCACAGTGAGAAGACACCAGCGTCCATAGGAAAGCATTGAGAATGCTTTCCTATGGACTGGCTGAATGCGCGCACAGCTCGTGCCGCGCATGCGCATTCAGCCGATGATGGGGAAAGGAGGCTTAGAGTCCCCAATGCCGAGGGAGCCCGGCGGTGGAGAAAAGGTATGTGTTTAACCCCTTCCTCACCCTAGAGCCTGGAGGGAGGGGGACCCTGAGGGTGGGGGGAACCTAGAGACCCTATAGTGCCAGGAAAACAAGTATGTTTTCCTGGCACTATAGTGGTCCTTTAACTTAGTGGTAAAAATGTCTTGCTCATTTTAGCTAGTGTCTATTGGAAACTGGATGTCCCATCTTTAAAGGGATACCCTAAGCACCAAAACAGCTTTAACTTAATAAAGTGGTTTTGGTATATAGATCATGTCCCTGCACTATCACTGCTCAGTTGTAAGCCATTTAGGCGTTAACGTACTTTGTTTATACAGCTCAAGCCACACCTTCCCTGGCTGTGACTCACACCACCTCCATACACACTTCCTGAAACAGAAGTGTAAATGTATGTTCTTTTCTTATTGCACAGTGTGATTCATTTAGAATTTAACTGTTCTAGCTTGCAATACCTTCCTCTGTGTGATTAAAGTGTGTGTCACAGCCAGGGGGGGGAGTGGCTAAGGTCGCAGAAACAAAAAAAATGTAATTTAATTCTTAAATAGCAGATAATTGAGTGGTGAGACTGCAGATGCATGATCTGTAAACCAAAACGGTTTCATGAAGTTAAAGTGGTTTTGGTGCTTATAGTGTCCCTTTAATTATCTTAAAAAGAGCTAGAATAAAATATATTTGTTTTTCCTTATTTTGTTATTTAATATTTATTTGGGGAATTACGGATATCGGAAATACCAGTGGCTGTGTACAACAAGATACCTATTTTTACTTAAAACATAAACCACATAGTAGGGATCGACCGATTATCGGTTTTACCGATATAATCGGCCGATATTCGGTATTCTCGGCAATATCGGTATCGGCCAATTCAGATACCGATATTGCCGATAATACCTCCTAGGACCGCCGGGCTCATTACAAACCCGGCGGTCCTGGGGGGGCGGAGAGCAAGCGCTTACTCACCTCCCAGCAGCTCCTCCAGCTCCCCAGTGCAACTCTCGCGATACCCGCGGGCGAGCGTCCGCGCATGGATCACCATGGCAACGCTCCGCGCGACACGCTGGCCGCGAGAGTTGCATTGGGGAGCTGGAGGAGCTGCTGGGAGGTGAGTAAGCGCTTGCTCTCCGCCCCCCCAGCTCAGCCAATACCACCAGGGACTGTCATATCCCCCCTCCCTGGCCAGGTAACAAGCAGGGAGGGGGGACAACAAAAATAAATAAGAATTAATTATACATTTTTTTAAAAATAATTTAATAAAAAATGCCCCCTCACACACTGCATTATATACACATACACTACACAAACACACTGTGTATATAATACAGTGTGTGTTTGTATAGTGTGTGTGTGTGTGTATACAATGCACACAAATACACTGCATTATATACACACACTATACAAACACACTGTGTATATAATGCAGTGTTTGTGTAGTGTGTTTATATAATGCAGTGTGTGTTTGTGTAGTGTGTTTATATAATGCAGTGTGTGTTTGTATAGTGTGTGTATATAATTCAGTGTGTTTGTATAGTGTGTGTGTATATAATGCAGTGTGTGTGTTTGTATAGTGTGTGTGTATAATGCAGTGTGTGTGTAGTGTGTGTGTATAATAAGTGTGTGTTTGTATAGTGTGTGTATATAATTCAGTGTGTTTGTATAGTGTGTGTGTATATAATGCAGTGTGTGTGTTTGTATAGTGTGTGTGTATAATGCAGTGTGTGTTTGTGTAGTGTGTATATAATGCAGTGTGTGTTTGTATAGTGTGTGTATATAATTCAGTGTGTTTGTATAGTGTGTGTGTGTATATAATGCAGTGTGTGTGTTTGTATAGTAGTATAATGCAGTGTGTGTTTGTGTAGTGTGTTTATATAATGCAGTGTGTGTTTGTGTAGTGTGTTTATATAATGCAGTGTGTGTTTGTATAGTGTTTATATAATGCAGTGTGTTTGTGTAGTGTGTATATAATGCAGTGTGTGTGTTTGTGTAGTGTTTATATAATTCAGTGTTTGTGTAGTGTGTTTATATAATGCACACTACACAAACACACTGCATTATATACACACACACTACATTCACTATACACACACTACACAAATACACACACACTCTGCATTCATTATATACACACACACTTTGAATTTAGTATATACAGCATTCACTTTACGCACACTACCCACACACTCTGCTTTCATTATATACACACTACACTAATACACACTGCATCCACTACACACACTAGACAAATACACACTGCATCCCCTACACAAACACACATTGCATCCTCCACACACTGCATCCACAACACACACACTACACAAACACACACACTGCATCCACTACACACACTACACAAACACACACAGCTCCCCTGTCACACTGCATCCACTGCACGTTGCATGTATATTTTGTGCATTTACCTTTAGAAATAGTTTTTATTTTCCAAAATGGTAAATGTACAGAATATCGGCAAATTATATCGGCTATCGGCCTGAAAGTTCACAGAATATCGGTATCGGTATCGGCTCTAAAAAATCAATATCGGTCGATCCCTACCACATAGGCAATGCATCAAAACAAACTTTATCAATATGAACATAACGAGCGTGCTGTGCTATGGTGGTTGTCAGTATACTGGAAGCTCGGACTATGGAGGTGAGGGAGATATTTCTATACTCCATGAACCTGAGGGGGGAGGGGAGAAGGGAACGGTAGTGGGTAATTGTATTCAGGTAAACTGAACCCTCAAAATACACTAAATTCCCACCAAAGAGGAACAAGTTAGTAAGATTTCTTTCACACCAGGGACCTCTGTCCTAATTCATGTATCTTGAGGGTTCAGTTTGCCCGAACATGAAACCTAGAATCATACAGGTATGATATCTCCGCATATACAAATAAATGCAGGGAACCATTTAAAAGTACAGTCCCACAAGAAAAACTAGAAACTAGCCAGCTGTCATGGGTGAGATGAATGGGAATTAAAACTGGAATATTATCCACATCCCAGGTAGCTAATGGACGTGTGTCCTTGGAAATGGAAGTTGTATAAATGCCCCAAATTTTCAGGAATCCAGTAGCCTTCGAGGCTGATGTTCACCTGTATCTGCGTCCACGATTTTCAACAATCAGGCGGTGATCCCCATTTTTAGGGAATTGCTGCATCACAAAGTTGCTTGGTTACCATTTTAAGCGATGTACGCCACTGTAGTGTAGAAAACCATAAATCATGAAAAAAACTGAGTGTTCAAAAATGAAAGGTGTGTGTGTGTGCCCCATAACTGCATTTAAGAAACCATCTTTACCCTTGCTTGTTGTAAAACACAAAATAATCTTGTAGTACAAACTCCTGTGCCGATGGAGGTCTGGCAAGATGATATATCCTGTCCAGGTTAAGATTCTTAGCTTGCTCTGCTGAGAGCAATGTTGAAAAAAAAAAAAGCCTAGTAAATTGAGTAAGTTCTCACTGACTGCATCAGGAATTCAGCTGATCTTCATATTGTGTTGCCATGCTCTGTCTTCAAGTTGTTCCATTTTAGTTGTTATAAAGGAGCAGGTATTACTTAATGCTTGTAGTTGAGTTCTAGTAAAATCTTACTTGATACGAACTCCTTGTATGTCTTCTTCAGGGGCCTTAATCTACCCAGCAAGAGTATTTAGGTCAGGTTGAAGATATCCCTTTTTTTAAAGCTAAATGAGTGTTCTTAGACTTTGTGGTTAAACGTGAGTCGGTACCGTGTCGACTCGACATCTGATTCAGGTCTAGTCTCGCCTCGTCAGTGGCTGAAGTATTGCCATATGTGGATTCTGCAGTTGCGTTTGTATGGTTTTTGTTTTTGTTTGGTTTTTTTGGTTTGTGTCTGGACATTTTTGAACATAAACAGAGCACCGCTGTGTTAAATTTTATGAAATGGTCTGCTTTTCATACATGCATGAAGACAGTGGAAGAATAATATTAATCTGCACAAAATAATAAGTTGTTTAAGTATTTAATCTTTAAAGTACATCTAGTCCTACAGTTGTGACATTATTACCCAACATAAGTGCTCCATTAATGTTCACAAATTTCCAGACAAACTAAAATACCCTAAATTTTAACCTCGGTTTAGTTTTGTTTGTTTTTTTCCCAACGAATATAGTTGGTAGTGGAACCTGCATGTGTTAAGAAACTAGTTTTGTTTCTGTCTGTCTGCGAATACTTGTGTACTTCTGACCCTTCTTACCCTGTGAGCATTAAAATAATAAACTGTAAAACCATGCATCCTTCTTGCAATTAATATTAGTGTGTGTTAAATTGTTGTGAAATGACAAAAGGAAATTGGGTAAACAATTTGCAAAACTTGTGTGGTCAGTTCATGAGAACATATCTAACATCGATAACTATTAATTTGCAAATGAAAAACCGTATGATCATTTATTTGATTACCAGGGGTTAGGGTAAAATCTTTGTCACACTTGTATATAAGGGCATTTTATATTTTTTATAAATTATTGTTTTTACCACAATATGTGTTTAGAGCACCCACATATTACAAAATGCTCAATGGATGTAAATGATGTAATTACAAGACTTATTAGATTACTTAATTTTGAGCTGTATTTTTAGGCCGAAAGGGCTAATCTTCCCATTAAGAGAATCGAACGTGTGAAAACCGGTGAGATATTCACTAAAGACTAGTGGTATGAGAATTCGTACGTACTGGCTCCCTGAAGGACCAAAAAGCTAGAAAAAAATATTTTGTTAAAGAGACATTGTGGGCACCACATGTTATTAATATTGTGTATTTTTTTGTAATACCTGCTTCACCATTAACCACACCCTCTCACTTTAGAAAAAGACTTCCTGATCAAATCTATCTAGACAGCTCAGCCACAGAATGCATTGAGTGATCTGAGTTACTGTAGCGGATTGCATTAAGGATGTCCTCAAAATTTGTGTATTTTAATATGCTTTCGTGTATTTCTATTCCATGTATTCACATTGTATGCAGCATTCGCCTGATTGTTCGGTAAAATCACTCCGTTTACTATACAAGTGAAACTACCGAACAATCAGACCACCCCAGGGATAAGTGTGCCTCTCATTACCATTCGCAACAATATTGCAAATCCCTAATTGGCAATTGGTACTTTGTTCTATGGGTGACCGCCATTCGGGATACGTGGCGGCGGCCATCTTAACTCCTGAACAGCGGTGTTTGGTCGTTGAGTGTCTGGAACCCAAATTGGACACTCGACTAAGCAAACATCGCTGAGACCTCCAGATTTCCATAGCTTTGTGCGGAAACAACCGAACGAGCTGCTGTTCGGTAGAAAGACTCATCCGAACAAGGGGATTCACATGAAGGCAACAGCCATTTCATTCGGTATTTTCATCCGTTTATACCCACGAACCAAGACCGACAGCAAGGCCAAAAAGCAGGCATGTGAAATTAAAGTTCAGTTCTGTTCCTAATGCTGTGTGTCGTCCAGTCATTGGGAAACATGTGGGATACTTTTGGATTACTTTACTAATCGTGGATATTATTCTCTTGGGTTTTATTACTTGTTCCTGAACCTTATTTGGATTACCAGTGGAGATAGTCTGTGAGAGACCAGCACTCCGCTACAGTTACAAAATAACCATTAGGTTAACCCAGGGAAGCATATACAGGGAGTGCAGAATTATTAGGCAAGTTGTATTTTTGAGGATTAATTTTATTATTGAACAACAACCATGTTCTCAATGAACCCAAAAAACTCATTAATATCAAAGCTGAATATTTTTGGAAGTAGTTTTTAGTTTGTTTTTAGTTTTAGCTATGTTAGGGGGATATCTGTGTGTGCAGGTGACTATTACTGTGCATAATTATTAGGCAACTTAACAAAAAACAAATATATACCCATTTCAATTATTTATTATTACCAGTGAAACCAATATAACATCTCAACATTCACAAATATACATTTCTGACATTCAAAAACAAAACAAAAACAAATCAGTGACCAATATAGCCACCTTTCTTTGCAAGGACACTCAAAAGCCTGCCATCCATGGATTCTGTCAGTGTTTTGATCTGTTCACCATCAACATTGCGTGCAGCAGCAACCACAGCCTCCCAGACACTGTTCAGAGAGGTGTACTGTTTTCCCTCCTTGTAAATCTCACATTTGATGATGGACCACAGGTTCTCAATGGGGTTCAGATCAGGTGAACAAGGAGGCCATGTCATTAGATTTTCTTCTTTTATACCCTTTCTTGCCAGCCACGCTGTGGAGTACTTGGACGCGTGTGATGGAGCATTGTCCTGCATGAAAATCATGTTTTTCTTGAAGGATGTAGACTTCTTCCTGTACCACTGCTTGAAGAAGGTGTCTTCCAGGAACTGGCAGTAGGACTGGGAGTTGAGCTTGACTCCATCCTCAACCCGAAAAGGCCCCACAAGCTCATCTTTGATGATACCAGCCCAAACCAGTACTCCACCTCCACCTTGCTGGCGTCTGAGTCGGACTGGAGCTCTCTGCCCTTTACCAATCCAGCCACGGGCCCATCCATCTGGCCCATCAAGTCTCACTCTCATTTCATCAGTCCATAAAACCTTAGAAAAATCAGTCTTGAGATATTTCTTGGCCCAGTCTTGACGTTTCAGCTTGTGTGTCTTGTTCAGTGGTGGTCGTCTTTCAGCCTTTCTTACCTTGGCCATGTCTCTGAGTATTGCACACCTTGTGCTTTTGGGCACTCCAGTGATGTTGCAGCTCTGAAATATGGCCAAACTGGTGGCAAGTGGCATCGTGGCAGCTGCACGCTTGACTTTTCTCAGTTCATGGGCAGTTATTTTGCGCCTTGGTTTTTCCACACGCTTCTTGCGACCCTGTTGACTATTTTGAATGAAACGCTTGATTGTTTGATGATCACGCTTCAGAAGCTTTGCAATTTTTTTTTTTTTTTATAATTCTTTATTTTGTCAATGACAGATATAATTAGGTAGTGCAATTTAGTGGCTTGCACAGAAGCCGCGATATCGTTCAGGCAGTGTATAGGTTATTACACGTACATCTTTTGAGATTTACACCTGTCTGTCATCGTTTTTCAACAAATACGGTAAGAACAACATTTAAATAACTTGCAACTTATAACATAAGAGGTTATTCTTAACAGGGCCTTTGGTTTGCCGTCGCGGTGCAGCGGCTTTGGCGTGTTGAGCATCTAGGTCGGGTTACCGGAAAGTCCGACCTTGTATTGGGGATGGGGTGAATTAACCTAAAAAGAGGGGGGGGGGATGGAGAGGGAGGGGGGGGAAGTGGTCTTGGACGTTTCTAGTGGTTTGCTAGTCATCTGTGTGGTTATCCCATGGTTCCCATACCTTTGTGAAAGCTTTCATAGTGCCTCGTATTTGAGCCGTCAGTTTGTCCATGAGGTGACACTCTTTGATCTTGTTGAGTACTGCGGTCATTGAGGGAGGGTTTGGCTGCAACCATGTTTGGGCTAGGGCTTTTCTAGCTGCTAATGTTATCTTGTTAAGCAATTGTTGTTCATGTCTGGGTAGGTCGTCTAGGGGTCTAGCCAGCAGGAATGTCCATGGGTTTGCGTCTATCGGTCTATGTAAGATTTGCGCTATTAGCTTCTGGATGTTTTCCCAGAAAAGTTTAATTATGGGGCAGTACCACCACATATGTGCGTACGTCCCTTTTTCTCCGCAGTTACGCCAGCAGAGGTCCGTGGGTATTTTTTTCATGTGGGATAGTTGGACCGGTGTGACGTACCAGCGTAGCATCGTTTTATATGCCTGTTCCTGCATCGTGACGCATATGGAGGTTCTGGAATTGGCTTCCCATATTTCCTGCCAGTCAATTCCCTCTAGTGTTTCCCCTAAGTCAGCTTCCCATTTGTCTATGTATTGCAGGTCCCCCCAGTCCCGAGTGGTGGAACAGAGGTGGGAGTAGAGCTGGGTGATCATGCCCCTATGGTATTGTTCCGCTAGGCAGATGCGCTCAAAGAAGGTCGGAGTGGTTTTGGCGGCGGTTTTTACCGTCGTTTGGGCCGCGTAGTGTTTTAGTTGCAAATACCGAAAAAAGTCGGCTGGTTTCAGAGTTGCTCTAGATTGTAAGTCTGGAAAGGAGACTATTGTGTCGCCTATGTATAGGTGGCACGCTCTCTGGAGACCTGCGTGCTCCAGCCCTTTGAAGTCCCATGGTCGCATACCTGGCGTGAAAGCCCTGTTTCGGTATAGGGGGGTGAGGGGGGAGGTCTTAGTGGTTAGGTCGTATTTGAGGGCATAAGTATCCCATAATTGGATTGAGTTGGTGATGGCTGGGCACGCCGTTCTCTGTAGTGCTCTATGCTCTTTTGGTGTCCAGATGTAGAATTGTGGGAGGTCTGATCCCATTAATGCTGATTCTAGATCTACCCACCTTCTAGTTTCTGGGGGGGTGTGCCATAGGGCTATTTGTGCCATCTGCGCGGCTATGTAGTAGAAATGTAGGTGGGGTAGGCCCAGGCCTCCTCTCGTTCTGGGGCGGTAAAGTATGTTGCGGGCTACTCTGTGCCTTTTATCCTGCCAAATAAATCTATCTATCGCCCGTTGCAGGGGGATGAGATTGTGTTTTGTGATAGGGATGGGTATGGCCTGAAAGAGGAACAGAATTCGGGGTAGAATGTTCATCTTGATGGAGTGTATTCTCCCTATCCAGGATATGGGTTTATCCGCCCAGGTCTCCAGGTCCGAAATGAGATTGTCTATCATGGGTGTGTAGTTCAGCCTGTGGAGCTCGTTGGTGTCTGCCGGTAACTTGATACCCAGGTATGTGAGGGAGGTTGGAGTGACTCGTATGTGATAATCTGAGGTTATTTTATTCGTGTCCGTCTGTGTGAGGTGTATTGGGAGTGCGCTGGATTTACCTACGTTAACTTTGTATCCTGAGATCTCACCGTATTTGGTCAGGAGTGGGAGCAATGCCTGTAGTGTGGGGATGGGTTCCGTTAAAGTCAGCAAGACGTCATCAGCATATCCTGAGACTAGAAATTCTTGGTCAGCTATTGTGACCCCTTTGATTTGTGGGTGTTCCCTTATGGCTTGGAGGAGTGGTTCCAGTGTCAGCACGAAGAGTAAGGGGGATAGGGGGCATCCCTGACGGGTACCGTTGGATATATTAAATGGTGGGCTATTTGTCCCAGTTATCTTTATTTGTGCCGAAACGGAAGTGTATAGTGCGCGAATCGCTGTTATGTATGGGGGGGGGTATGTTTAGATGTTCTAGGAGGGTGAACATGTAGGGCCATTTCACGCGGTCAAATGCTTTCTCAGCATCCAGGGAAAGTGCTAGGGATGGCGTTTTTTTGTTGGCTAGCAGCCATATTATGTCTATGTTACGTCTCGTATTTTCGAATAGTTGTCGTCCGGGTATGAATCCTACTTGGTCGGCGTGAACTAGATTTGTCAGGTATGGGTTTAGTCTACCTGCTAAGATTTTGGCGAAGATTTTGCTGTCGTGGTTTATGAGTGAGATGGGTCGATATGCTTCTGGTTGGGTGTGGTCTTTACCTGGCTTTGGTAGCAGAATGATGTTTGCCCGTGTCATGTCTCTGTCTGGTGGGGTTCCCGTCATAAGTTCTTGGAATAAGGATTCTAAGTGTGGGATGAGTGTTTCCCTAAAGGTTTTGTAATAGCTGCCTTCGAAACCGTCTGGGCCGGGGGCTTTATTGCTTTTAAGAGAGGAGATAGCTATGTTTATTTCATCTTTAGAGATTGGTACTGCTAATTCCGTTGCGGCTGCAGTGTGTAGTTTTGGTAAGTTTAGTTGGTTGAGGAAGTCGGTTGTTTTCTGTTTCGCCGCTGTGGTTGACATGACATCTTGGGGGGAATGGTTGTATAGTGTGTTATAAAAGGTTGTGAAAGCTTGTGCTATTTCTGTTGGGGATGTTTTCAGTGTGCCGTCTGGGGCACTTATCTTGGTGATGTGTGGGTGTTGGGTTCTAGGTCGTAGTGTGCGGGCTAATAGTGTGTCCATTTTGTTGGATTTGTCATAGTATGTTCTTTTCGTCCAAGTGAGAGCTCGTGCCGTGTCATCTATAAGCAGTTGTCTGAGATTGTGGCGGGCGGTTTGGAGGCGTTGTAACGTATGGGGGGTCGGGTCGGTTTTGTGGCATTGCTCCGCTGTGCGGAGGGTTTCTAACTGTTGGGTAAGTTTCCGCGTTTTTTGTTTCTTTTTGTAGGTTGCTATTTTAATAAGGGAGCCACGAATCACTGCTTTATGGGCCGCCCATACTTTGGTCATGGGGAGTTCTGGTGTTAGGTTTTCTGTGAAGTATGTGGTTAGCTGTTTCTGTATGTCCTCTACTACTTGTGGGTCTTTAAGGAGGGATGTGTTTAGCCTCCATGTCCATGGGGCAGGGCACTGGATGCCTTGGAGATGGATCGCGACGTCCGCATGGTCTGACCATGCGATTGTGCCTATCTCCGTTTTTTGTGTTTTTGTGTAGCCTGCGTGATTAGTTAAGAACATGTCTATGCGTGAGTATGTGTCATGGGGTGGCGAGTAGTACGTGTAGTCCTGAACAGAGGGGTGTTGAGCCCTCCATGCGTCTATGAGGCCTGTCTTGCGGATAAAGTGGTGTAATAGCTTGTCTTGTGCGCCCATGCCATGAGACCTAACTAGTCCTGGGCGAGTGCTTCTATCTATTGCTGGAGCTGGGGTTGCGTTCAGGTCTCCCCCTAGGAGGATTATCCCGGAGGGGAGCGCAAGGACTACGTCTGACAACTGGTTCCAGAATTGGGGTGTGGGTGTGTTGGGGGCGTAGATGTTGATCAAGTGGATTGGTTGGGAATGAATCCTGCCTGTGACTAGCACATATCTACCGTCTGGGTCTAACGTCGCTTGGGCTATGTGAATTGGGCATCGTTTATGTGTAAGTATCGCCACTCCGTTCTGTTTGCGGAAGGACCGAGCCTCTGCGGCTAGGCGGTATGTGTTGTCTCGGAGGGAGACCTGGGTGGATCGAGACAGGTGAGTCTCCTGTATGAAGGCTATGTCAGGGTTTAACCTTTTTAGCTCCTTGAACAGTGTTCTCCTCTTGCGAGGAGCATTGAGGCCTTTTACATTAAGCGAGGATACCTTAAGAGCCATAATCTAGAGGTTTCGGTGAGCGTTTTTTGTCCTTCTGGACGGTCGGGTGGCTGTGGTGGTTCGTTGCGGCTTGCATGGTGTGTTTGCGCAGCGGGGCATGGGGTCGGCTCCCACCTCTGTTCCTTTGTGTCACTGGGTGGGTGTGTGGTTGGGGATGTGCACGTTGCGCCTCTGTCATCGTCCAAGACCTATGAGGGCCTAGGGTAGGTGGGGAATGTAGGGGAGGTAGGTTGGTGGGGGAGGATGAGGGTCTAAGGAGTTTTGGAAAAGGTGTGATACGGCGTTGCCGTATTGGTCTGGTCTTATTGCGTGCCAGACCGTTGGGGGGTGCATGTACCCTGGTCTTCCCTGTGACTGTGTCAGTTTGGGAGTGTTGGGTCATGAACCTGTTTTCCGATGTGATCCCCTGTTACCATGTGTCATTTGTCTGTTGCATCTTTAATGTGCAGCGTACAAGTTGATGGTCTATTGGGCGATTTGTCTTCCCTGCCCCTGGTTCTTGAGGTTTGTGTTGCTTTAGTGCTTTAGTGCTTTAGTGGGGCCGGGAGCTCTTGGGAGTAGCCGCTTAGTGGTGTTTTCCACGAAATGGGGAGGGGGGAAATAATGGGCAGTTGTTACCCGTTTAGGTAGCTTTTCCTGGTCTACGATGGTTCTCCTGTTTGTAGGCACCATTGTGCCGGGGCAAGTTTTTTATTACTATATCATGTCTTTTTTGTTTTTGTCGTTTTTTTTTTTTTATATAATCCCTTTTGCTGCTTTTCAGGTGTGACCTCTGTCATTAGGGTGTGGGGAGGGAAGGGGCCGGCTGCTAGAGACGGTCACCAGTCTATCAAGTGGGTGACCGTACGCCGGGACGGGGGAGATAGGCAGGGCGGGGGGGAGGAGAAGCGCCGCAAGGACAACATATAGCAATACATATCAATGCAAGTCCGAGGCACTTCAACCCATTTACATCCACCATCTTTGCTATTATATCACCCACTCTAGATGGTCCCTGTGCCCCCCAGTGCCATAGCCCCGCACCCCGCCCCGCCCCCCCCCAACCCGACACCCACCCCCCCATCCCCCCCACAGCCCGCAAGCCCCCGCCGTCTATGTGTGTGCTTTCTCTACGTGTGATGTGGTCCCTATCGTGAAGCTTGGTCTCTGTGTAGTGTGGTTGTGTAGCGAATTCGTGTCTAGAGCAGTTGTACTTGCGTGGTGTGTGTGCCCTGGGTGACTTATGTGACTGTACATGTGTGTCCCATAAATGCTTTGCTTTCCCCTTTAGCGTCTAAGTTGCGGTATCTTTGAACTGGTACTTGCTGTGGTATCAAGAAGCCAGCAATAGTCTCTGGGCAAGTTCATAATGTGGGTTATCTTCGATGCTGTGGGCGGGGAGGATGCCGTGAATGCCGCGGGGGCCCTTGGTGCTCCCGAGTCCTATGTTGGCTGTGGTCAAGGGGAAGAGTCCGTTGAGCTGTGTATGCAGCAGGTGTAATTTCGGAGCAGGAGTCCATCGTAGTTGGGGGGCATCTTCATCGGGCGTTGTCGTTTCAGTCCGCTCAGTGGGCTGAGAGTCTTTGTAGTTCTGTTGTCCGGAGTTTTGTTTCTGGTGGGTGCTGAGGATGGGTAGGTCGTCATGGTGTTGCTGGCCGAGGCCCGGTGAACTCGTTCCCGGGAGGATGGGTCTGCCTTGGGTGTGGGTGGCCGTCTGCTGGCTGTTTACTCCGCGGCGGTGTACCAATCGCGGGGCAGGGGTTGTAGGGCCGGAAGAGCAGAGTTGGGCAGCGTGAAGTTCTCTGGAACTGTGATGCCCAATGCGCGGAGGAAGGGTATGGGGTCCGTGCCTGGCGTGAGAATATGGGATCTGCCCTGTTTAAAGACCAGTAATTTAAAGGGATGCCCCCAGGCGTACCTTATTGCGTTGGTCTTGAGTAGCTCTGTGACTGGCTTCCATTCCCTTCTGCGTTGGAGGGTGATGGGGGCCAAATCTTGGAACAGGGAGATTTCAACGTTCTTGTACGTTATGGGGCTTTCTCTAGCTTTCCTCAGGACCGCTTCCTTCGTCTGGAAGTGGAGAAAACGGACTATAATATCCCTGGGTCTTGTGTTGTCGTCTCTCCGGGCGCGTAAGGCCCTGTGGGCCCGATCGATGTGCCACTGCTCCTCCGGTATCTCTGGTGAGAGAGGTCGTAGGAGTGCGAGGAGCATGGGGGCGATTGGGCCTTCATCTTGTTGCTCTGGCAGGCCGCGCACGCGGATGTTATTGCGGCGTGACCTATTTGCCAGGTCTTCGAGCGCTGCCTCCGAGGCCTCCAGTCTGGCGGTGAGGGTGTTCACGTGAGCGGCCACCGTGTTGTGGGCCACTGCGGTCGTTTCCACGCGCTGCTCCAGGTCTGCCGTACGCTCCCCCAGCTTGTGAATTTCCGACATCACTGCCTTAGAGCTCCGGTCAATCTCCCGGGCGAGGTAGCTTTTCACCGCCGCCAGCTCAGTTAGTATGTGGGCAGTTTCTGATGCGGTGGAGCCTTGGGTCTGAGGAGGGCTCGAGTTTGTTGGTGAGCTAGGAGCTCGCGGGCTGTATCCGCCGCCATCTTGTGTGTCCTGGCGCGGCGTGCGGGAGGCCGCGAAAAGTTCAGGTACTGTGGCGGCCGTGTCTGCGTGTTTTTTGGCCGGTTTTCTCGGCAGGCGCTTGTCCATGGTGTATTAGGAGTCGGGATGGGTAGGTATTCCGTGTTTTTTTGCTATTGTAAGCGTTTGGAACAGGGGTTCGGCGAGGAGCTCTAGGCTTGCACGTCCAGCTCGGTTCCCGGTCAAGCCACCAGCTTTGCAATTTTAAGAGTGCTGCATCCCTCTGCAAGATATCTCACTATTTTTGACTTTTCTGAGCCTGTCAAGTCCTTCTTTTGACCCATTTTGCCAAAGGAAAGGAAGTTGCCTAATAATTATGCACACCTGATATAGGGTGTTGATGTCATTAGACCACACCCTTCTCATTACAGAGATGCACATCACCTAATATGCTTAATTGGTAGTAGGCGTTCGAGCCTATACAGCTTGGAGTAAGACAACATGCATAAAGAGGATGATGTGGTCAAAATACTAATTTGCCTAATAATTCTGCACTCCCTGTAGTGTCTGTAGCCAAGTTGGATTAGAAGTGAATTGAAAGTAGCCCACTCAGTGCGGTTTAGGTAAAGCTTTCTACATACAGCAATAAGGAAGTATTTCTGGCATGAGGGGGCAGTGGTTAAGGAGGCAGGCTTATTGTGCAGCTTTCTCCAAAACATGGTTTTTTGTTTTTTTGTGTTTGCAGAAACTATAAAGATTTGAATATGCAAAAAATACAGCATATTAATGAGGTTAAAACCAATCAAATGTATTCAAGTTCTTTTGGTGCATGGAGTATCTCTTTAAGATCTTAATCTCTATTCAAAACCTTAAAAGTACTCAAAAGTATGGCACAACCTCTACAGTCAGAGGGAAGCAAATATTATTTGTAAGATATCAATATATTCCACATTTCTGGGCTCTGGTAGAAACCATAACAAATCAGAAGTATTTGGCCTCCTCATATGTGTTTACCAATTACTAACTAAGATGTAATTGGGGAACCCAAACAGACACCACTGGGAAATTGGCTCAGTAAAGGGAGAGAGATTTCAAAATCAGATGATGACCTAAAGGCTTTCTTAAAATATATTTTTTTCTTTTTAACAGTTTTTTTTTTTCCAGCTGTTTTTAAATTACTCATATATGCAAAGATTGTATAAATGACTGGTAGCATTTGCTCAAATTAATTCCAACTCCACAGTCTTGAAAAACCGATACATAGCTTGTTGAAGTTGGTATGGCAGGGGGGTTGAACATTTCAACCTAGTCTTGGTAGATTTAAAGATACATGGGTACCAATCTGAACGCTGACAATCCGATATTCGAAAATGAAGGTTTGTTCAGTCAATGACCATTGGTTGTGTGAACAATGTTAAGTCAATAAAATAGGCCAACCTTTTTGTAAATGGCAACCTGGCAGCAACACTTAAGAAGATAGTTGATCTTGATATTCCGCTCTTTGCGGAAAAGTCCTTTTACGATATAAAGTAGGCTTCTTTAAAACTCAATGGGGGAGTTTACACTTCAGCCTAGGAACACCTCCAGTGGCCTCTCCACCCCACCCACCTCCATGGCTGAGACCATCAGAATTGACTATCTCAGCCAATCCAATGCTTTCCTATGTGAAAGCATTGTGATTGGCTGAGATCATCAATTCTGATTATGTCAGCCAAGGAGGTAGATTGGAGACAGGTTCAGACGCAAGGAACCCCCGTGCAAGGCTTGAAAAAGGTTAGTAATCACCTTTCTAACCCTAGGTAAGGGGAGGAGGGCGACCACCAAAATAGTGGTTTTAGAACTATAGTGTCAGGAACACAAACGTATATTCCTGACACTATAGTAGCCCTCTAAGAACCGTGTCCACCACATCAAGAATATCCAGATACACACTAAAATCGCTAACATTCTAACTAATTACTTGTCTGAACATTGTAGTGGTACTTGTATGAGTTAAGATATCTGTTTTAGTCCCCGTCCGTTCTCTGCAGTTACCCATTTACTTCTTTCCCCTCTCCACTCTGTAAGCCTTAAAATAATGAACTATAAAGATGTTCAACCTTACAACAATACTATTAGTTTGTTTTAAAATTATCTGAAATAGCAAAAGGAAATTGGGTAAACAACATTTACAAAACTCTAAAATATGTGGTTACTTGATGGTAGCACGAACATCAATCACTATTTGTAGAAACTGTAAGATAAGATGATTAGTTTGGAATTAGCAGGACGTAGGGTCAAATCAATGTCACTCTTGTATATGTTCATTTTATATCATGTAATCTAATTAAAGTGCCAGCAAATTACACAGTGCTTAATATGGTATACAAAGGGGTGTAATGGCATGACAGCAGGCTCAATTTGGCAAATATTGATACAGTAATGGAGGTCCCAAGGCGGTCCTTAAGGTTGGGAATGCCAACTGATCCATTGATAATTAATAATTGTAATTGGGTTCTCCCATAGTTACCTACCACATCATAACATCTCCACACGAGGACTTTTGTTTTTTATTTTTGGGGTAATATTGCAACTATTGTGTATAAATTCTATAAAATGCTTAATTTCCACCAAAGAAAGCATTAAAGGGACACTATAGTCACCTGAACAACTTCAGCTTAATGAGCTTGTTCATGTGAGAACTATAGCTCCCTGCAGCCTTTCTCATGTAAACACTGTATTTTCAGAGAAACACTGTATTTTCAGAGAAAATACAGTGTTTACATTGAAAGCTAGGAACACCTCCAGTTGCAGTCACTCAGAGTGAACCAGAGGGACTTCTGAGTTGATGGAAGCATAATATGGCTCCATCCACTCAGATCTGCTGTGCACTAGCATCCTGTGATTCAGTATCTCCTCCCACTGCATGCAGACACTGAACTTTCCTCATAGAGATTCACTGATTCAATTAATCTCTATGGGGAGATGCTGATTGGCCAGGGCTGTGTTTGAATCATGCTGGCTCTGCCCCTGATCTGCCTCCTTGTCAGTCTCAGCCAATCCTATGGGGAAGCACTGTGATTGGATCAGGCTATCACATGTCAGTAGACTGCTTGTTTTTCCTGAGTCTAACAGCATACAGATTTACAGCTTCTGGCTTGAATACAGTAAGATTTTTACTATATTTATGGAGGCATGAGGGGCCCAGGGTGGCTAGATGGTAGTGTTAACACTATAGGGTCAGGAATACATGTAGTTGCACTGGTGACTATAGTGTCCCTTTAACTAGACTCCTGCCACAAAACGAAATTGTGATCTAAATATTGCAAATTTGGTTGCAGATGTAGCATTCTAGTTTTTCACTTTTTTAATCTGGTCTTCTACTTGTTTTACAGGTGCCGTGTGTAATTATTGCAAGCCAAAGGAATCTGAGCTTCACCAGAAGGAGGTAAGTACATCTGAGCAACTTAAACTCTATGGAATCTTAATATTTTGAGACCGGGAAGACAACTTCTTGGAACACACAGGGTTATTCACTAGAGTGTGAACTTGTGGATTTCAAAGTGAATTTTCAATCTTAGGCCAAATACTAATCTGAAAAATGCAGTTGACTTGAAGTACTGTTTTTTATTTATTTTTCTCCATATAGCTAATTTTTGCCTTAAAGTTTAAATTCAATTTAGTGAATAACACTGAATAACTTGTATTTTATGCTGGTAGACGCGTACATGTCTGTACTTATTTGTGGTTGATGAAAATTGTATATGCACACACACGCCTTCCTAAGATACAGCTGTATGGGGATAAAATATCTAAAGTCAGTGAGGGGCGGAGCTAGCCAGCAGACCGCGCGGTCACATGTACCCTGAGCTCCGGCACAAAATAGTCTTTGCAACCTCAAATTGCCCTTTCTGGGCAAACAGATTTGCTCTTGCAGGGCACCAGCTGAGACAGGAGAACATGGGAAAGCATTCACACAAATCTCTTGGCTCAGACGGGAGCCAAACCCCGGATATCTGCTTCCTACTGACCCAGCCGTCCAAACCTAAAATGGCAGATCTAATGGCTGACACACCACGCGCATTCACATCAGCCTCAGTGGCTGAAGACGGTTCTGGGTCTTCCTCATCAGTCCCGTGGTGGCATTGCAGTTCCCCAACAGCAGCCAGACATGCAATGGGCCACAAAAACAGACCTCACCGCAATGGTGACAGAGATCAAAGCCTACATTGCCTCGGAAATGGCAGTCCTGAAAACGGACCTCTACACTCTGGCAAGCAGGATGACTTCCACAGAGGACACTGTCCGCAGCCTTGGAGTCAAACGACACCACAGCAGCTCAACTACATGAGGTATCACATAAGTGTGCAGAATTAACAGCAAAAGTGGGACAGCTGGAAGACCTGGCAAGGCAGCGTATTTTAAAAGTCCGTGGGATCCCAGACACTATTGATGCTGGCGAGCTCCTACAGTTCATTAAGAGGCTACTCTCCACTACCCTAACACCCAAAAAGGCAAAAGGAACGCTGCTGGATGGGGTATACCGCCTCCCAGGGAACACTACCACCAAGTTCTCTGGATCCAGAGATGTCACGAACTGACAAGGACACATTTAATGGCACAAGTCAAATGCCAATTACCATAAACTTTTGAACAGCACTCACTGTGTTTCTATCAGGTCCACGCTGCAGTGGCGTGCAATGCTGAAGGAGGTGACCTCTCAACTGCGAGCTGCAGGAATTCAATACCGGTGGGGGACCCCATGGGCACTTGTAGCAGAGAAGAGTGACAATCGGCACAGACTCACATCGGCGGCGCAAGCGGACAGCTTCCTGCAATCTCTGTGACTGGCTGCTAAAGCTACTTCTAGGCCAAACAGACCTATACATTAGTGGGACGTTGACAACATAGCTGTCTTAACGCCTGCAAGCTCAATGGCCCCAGGATGAGGCAACTAACGAATGGCCAATTGTGGTCCTATGCAAACCTATCCTTGGTCGTTAAATTGTTTACTACACTATTGTTTTTCTGCACTTAGGTAGCTTTTTGGTTTTATGGTCTCACCTTATGTCCTTTGGGACCCTCAGACCCTTATGAGTTACTAAAAGCTTAGCGCACTATGACACGATTTAAAGTCGCTCCCCGAACGCAACACCCCCCCTCCCTTTTGATTTCTGGGGTAAGGGGCTAGCCTGATCACAGCTACATAATTCTCATGCAACACATTCTTGCTTCATATATATACTAATGTTCTTTATTGAGAATCGTTAGCTACGTTATCATGATGAATGATTGAAAAATGAGCAGAACATGTTCAAATCCACTCAGGGGGTGGCACATATGTTTTAATCTGGATATTTCCAGCCAATTTCACAATCTTAAAATGGTTACTAAATTAAATTCATCTACTTGAACTAAAACTCCTTATGCAAGGTAGGTCCAAAGTATGTTCTTCCCGAATCATTAGATTGAACAGAAAAATTAAATAAAATGTGGAATTAACAATTCTTTGAACTATGTTCCTCTCTGTTTTGGTTACAATGAAATTACCTAATGGATTTTTTTGTTTTGTTTTCATTCACAATTTGGAATTCTATATTTGTAAAGCCCTATTTTGGTGATTATTCCAAAGCCTTGGTTCTATTTGGGTTTCCAGATCATAGGGATATTATGGCCATCTATATAATTTCTATGATTCAATAATGTATTTGTTGGTATGCAGCCTTTAAGTTTGTCTTTTATGGTGTTGAGTTCATTAAGATCCACAAGTGCCAGGAACTCAATGATATCCAACCTGGGTTACTTTGACTGCTATCTTAACCAGGTAAACCTGGTCTTTGTTACTGGAAATTGGGCCAGGTTTACCTGCACAATGAGAAGCTTTTTGGACTTAAGAACCACATACCGGGTACTTAATTTTAATACTCCTATTCTGGCTGATGCTTTTTGATGTCCTTTATATGTTTTTTATTCTTATATTCCAGATTTCACACCTTGGTTCCCTTGAGGAGAAATTTT